AAAGGAAACCCCATGCCCAGGACATACCCTGCACCAGTAGGAATGTCTGGGGTGGGGCCCAGCACCAGTATTTTTAAAAAATCTGTGGGACACATATAGCCAGGGTTGAGAACCAACCTGTGTCTTAGTTTATATGGCATTTGCTAATCTTAAGGCTTACTCGTTCTCAGAGTGTGATACTCTGAGGCTCCACAAGGGGGCAGAGCTGGCCTTGACTCCCAGCCACCCCTCTTTCTACCTGTGCCCCCAGGACCTGGGAGCACCTGCTGGCGTTGGACAGCTCCGTGTCTTAGCATGTGCCTCCCCCACACAAACCACATGGGCCCACAGTGCCCCTCTGAGTCGGATGTCAGCAGTGACAAGGGTGGGCTAACAAGCCCTCGGTGGAAACCCAGGCACCTCCCAGCCTCCCAGCCTCCCGTCGGGAAAAATAATGACCACTTTACAAAGCTGTTTCACAAAACGTTACGTTAAATGAACATCAAATGACTTTTCCTTTTCACAGCTTTAAATGCTGACAGTGCCACTTATTCCTGACCTTCAGGAATAGATGTTTGCGATGACAACATAAAAAAAAAAAAAGAGTTCTTGTTTGAAAATGCAAGCTACTTTGGACCACATCTTATTACTCCTACGTATTGCTCACTTCAGCCGCCCGTTTACACGGAGCTGGTGTGTGTTTCCGCGGACATTTATTATTCTCCTGCATACGTGTCAAATTCCTTAATGAGGACTCTGACAAAGACATAGAGCTCGGGATATAGAAATTACATCTAGCTACAGTGCAATCAGTGTTCTCTATTATGACGCTATTTGTGACAAGTCACGTTCCAAATAAAAATCGAATTGATTTCTCTCTGATTTGGAAGACGGTGCCCTCCCAGCAAGCCTCTGATTGAATCTTCAACACGTTAATGCTCCGTTTTTGTCCAAGGCAGATCGGAAAAGGGAGTCTGCACTGTTCTCAAAGCGAAAACGATCTGCAAAACAACCAAATCAAATTTCCCAAAGCATTTTTATTGGCAGGCCCGGGGAATGAATTTGGTAAAGCTCTCTTTACGGGGCGCGGAGAGCAAGCCTGCATTTCCACGTTTCGTTTCCACGCTTCCGTTTCCGTCTAAATGAGGCTCTAACCGCTGCAGGGTCTGAGAGGCCTCGGCCGGGCCTCCGTTTCTCCTTCTCTCTCCCGGGAGGGCAGGCTTTTTCCCAGCCGATCCCCGAGCCCCCTCACCCGGGTCCCTCTCCCTGGGCGGTGGCTTTGGGCTAACTGCTCTGTGACTTGGGCCCTGGGGGGGTTCTGTCTCAAGGAGGCACCTGCTTCACCCATTTTGCTTACAAAATGAGTCACTCACGACCATCCCGTTGGGTTAACACGTGGTTTGGAGCAGGGGGTGGCGAATCAGGGCACAGCCCTCCAGCGGATAATGGTGTTCACATTTTTTACTGTGTTTTGTTTTGTTTTGTTTTCATTCAAAAAAATATATTTTGTGATACATGAAAATGACGTGAAATTAAACTTTCAGCGTCTATCAATAAAGCTTTATTGGAACACAGACACACTAATTTTTTTTTTTTTAATACATTTTGTTGATTTTTTTACAGAGAGGAAGGGAGATGGATAGAGAGTTAGATAAATCGATCAGCTGCCTCCTGCACACCTCCTACTGGGGATGTGTCTGCAACCAACATATTGAATACATGCCCTTGACCAGAATCGAACCTGGGACCTTTCGACACTCTATCCACTGAGCCACACCAGTTTCAGCAGACACACTCACTAATCTCCATATTGTCTAGAACGGCTTTCCTGCTAACACGGCAGAATTGCCACAGAGACCCACTGGCCCACGAAGTCTAAAATATGTAGCGTCTGGCTCATTTGCAGAAGAACGTTCCAGTTCCTGATTCAGAAGGCAGGGCCGCAGTAGCTGGTGCCAGCCAGGCAGAGACAGTGATTTTAGATAAACTGGAGCTGGGGCCAGGGACTGTGGAGGGCACGGGGTGACACGGCCTGATGGAGAGGCCTGGGGAGAGTGCCCTTGGTGTGACCTTCATGAGAGCACACACCGGAAATGAGGCTGTAGGCTGTGGGAACTGGGTGCCCAGCTCCTCTAGGCCAGGGGTCTTCAAACTTCTCTCATTATGAGAATCACCTGGTGGAGGTGTTAAAACACAGATTCCCGGATCCCAACTATAAGAAGTGCTATCAGGAATCTGTGTTTTAACACCTCCACCAGGTGATTCTCATAATGAGAGAAGTTTGAAGACCCCTGCTCTAGGCCATGGAGTGCCTGGTGCCCTTTCCTGGTGGCACCCCAGGTTGGTCAGGAAAGATGGGGTACACACTCCCTCTAAGACTTTGGAGCATGCAGACAAATCCTGTTGGAGTCTACTTGTAGACAGGGGTTTTATTGGGAACACGTCAGCCTTTGGGGGTAGGGGGATGCTGTATTTTTCTGGGAAGGGGCTGACTTGGGAAGACTGATGGAGGTTGTCCAGGAGAGGATGGATGGGGCTCTGCCTGCCTGGGCCATCTCACCTTGGAGAGGCCCCGCTAGGCCAGGCACCAGGGGACACCTGGGATCTTCAGAGAGGGGAGAGGAAAATGCTTACGGGGCCTTCTGGGAAAGAAGCCAGGACCCCAACTTTTAAAATTCTGGGGAAGGAATGGGGTCTGAGAAGCAAGACCTTGGAACAGGGTAGAGAGGTGAGGGTGTCCGGTCTTGAGCCTTAATGGAACTTTCCATTTTGCCTTTTTATTGCTCCTTCCTGGCACTGTTCGCTGTGCTCAAGAGGAAAAGATGTCCTGTGAGTTGTATGTGAGCAAAATGCTAGGCCAAGCCCTTTGAGTGCGATACCCCATTGAACCCCCCAAACCCGTGAGGAAGGCCTTCTCATTTTATAGCCAAGCAGGAAGGGGTAAGAGTGCCTACCTTTCACATCAAGGCCAGTCAGCAGCTATGTGGCAACACCGACAGGATGAACCCCAAAGCCCTCAGTATCCTCACTCCACTCCACTGGCTCTGGCATATCCATTATACACACACACACACACACACACACACACACACACACACACACACATATATATATATATAGTGCATTTCTTCTTTGTCCTCTTTTCTTTTTTAAAAATATTTTTTTTTACTTTTATTGATTTCAGAGAGAGAGAGACGGAGAGAGAGATAGAAACATCAATGACGAGAGAGAACCATTGATCGGCTGCCTTCTGCACACCCCACACTGGGGATTAAGCGTGCAACCCTGGCATGTGCCCTGACTGGGAATCAAACGGTGACCTCCTGGTTCATAGGTTGACGCTTAACCACTGAGCCATACTGACCGGACTGTCTTCTCTTTTCTTTCTTGAACTGACTGGATGGAGAAACCATGGAGCTAGAGAAAAGTCAGCCTTGTAGAGCCAGCCAGTCACCCCTCCCGGAGGGGGCGTGAGGACCAGACACCCGTGCCTCCCCTCCCACATCCGGCCTCCAGGGCAACTGTCAGTTTTCACGTGAGAAGGAAGAGGCGATCCCGAAGGACCATTTTAATTGCCATGGAAGTCAGACCATCCTGACAGGAGACCCTGGTATCAAAGGAAATCATGCACCCTCCGATTCCTCAGCCCACCGAGCGCAAGGAGCTTTGTCTGCTCCGGTAACGGCATTGTTTCCAGTGGCAAGAATGAGCTCGTTAAGGATACAGCCTGTGCTAATCATGATAATTTGCCGGACACTCCAATCATCTCTCTACCTGCCCGGACAGACAATGCCCTGGCAATTGTAGGCTAGCGGGGGGAACAAAAAGGATCAAGATTAGGGAAAGAATTGCCATGCAGAACGGCTTCAACAAAAGAAGTTACAGGTTCGCATGTTGAACCTGGTGATGTTAATCTTGACATTGTAGAAGAATTAGATACTATGAATCAATTTTTTAAATCGCCTTTATTCAACTTTGGGAACTGCCATGGGGTGGCTGTTCTCTTGCTTGTGTTTTACAAGAGCCACTTTTAATTTTTTTTATTATTTTTTAAATATGTTATTGATTCATTTAGAAAGAGAGGGAGAGGGAGCAGGAGAGAGCTAGAAACACCAATTGGCTGCCTCCTACAGACCCCTACTGGGGGTTAAGCCTGCAACCTGTGCCCTGACCGGGAATTGAACTGGAGACCTCTTAGTTCGGGAGATGGCACTCAAGCAAATGAGCCACACCTGCCAGGCCAGGAGCCATTCTGTAAAGATTGGTCTCAGGTGAATTGGTTGGAGCTTAAATGTTGATGCGTGATGTGATCCGGTGGATGAGGTTAGCATGAGGGCAGTTCCAAGGAATCGCTTTGGTCTTAGGTCCCCTTCATTTCCTGGGCAACGGTCTCAGTCAGCTTGAGCCCAGAGCAGTCATCCCCAAACTCTGTGGTTTGGGAGGGGGACCAGCCAGCGGCACCTCCTGTGGCTCATGTCTGAGAGGCTGGACGGCAGGCTCACTGCCCACCCAGGCAAGGAAGGGGTCTGTCTCCTGAGTTCTCTTCTGGGAATGGTGGGGTCCCACTCCCCGGGCTTCTGGAAAACTGGGAACATCCCAGCTACTCGCTGAGCTTTGCCCCGCCCTTTGAAGAGAGAGGCAACCTCTGTTTTCCCCCCGAATTTCCACAGGCAACAGCTATTGTTAACATAATCAGAAAGAAATGTTGTTGTTTTTTTAAGAATCCTTATTTGAGCCCAGTGTGTGGCCCTCCATGGCCAGGAGGCTCTCCTGGGCACTGGGATGCTGAACCCCCAGGGCGGGGCTGGGGGTGGCCTCTGTGACAGCGTGGGGACTCCCAGGTCAGGAGGCTGGTGGGGACCGCCAGGTTCGAGGCCAGGCAGGGCTTCCATGGCAGCCTGGCCCGGGTGCGCGGCGTTGCCTCCGGGTTAGGAAGACTTGGGCCCCGCCTGGCCCTCCTCCAGGCCGGAATCAGGGAAAGCCGGCCGGAAGCCGCTGGGATGCTGAGAAGTACACTCTTTATTCCCACAGGACAACAGAGGGTCTGCCAGCCCGCCAGGGTGGAAGGGACTCTCATGCACAAAGCTCCCTAGTCCTGCTGGGGGTAGGGAAGGCGGCTCCTCCCTGAAGGCTGGCTAGCTCCCGAGCGCCCCCTAGAGTCCACTCTCCCCGGGCGGCTCTCCCAGGGGGCCGTTGTCTGAGGACAGTGGCTCCAGATAGAGCTTCCTGCTCGGGCTCTGAGCAAAGTCACACCTCCCCGGAGGCCTGGGGTGCTCTATCGGGGGTATCGCAAGGCCAGGACAGGTGCTGTCTGCAAGACAAACCGTGCAGTGAGCTGCAGGCGGTGCCCAGCGGTGCAGAGGCCAGTGCCAACATGCCCCTTATTTCCACTCCCCCGTTTTTAAAAACAGCAGGAAGGGCCCGGGGCCCGTTTGGCTCGGTGGATAGAGCACGGATCCGTGGACGGAAGGGTCCAGAGTTCGATTATAGTCAAATGAAAGGGCCAAGGTTTGATTCCGGTCAAGGCCATACCTCGGTGGCAGACTATCCCCAGCCCTGGTCAGGGTGCATGCGGGAGGCAGCCAGTCAATGTGTCTCTCACATCAATGATCCGTGTCTCTCTCTCTGTCTCTCCCCCTCCCTTCCACTCTCTCTAAAAATCAATGGAAAATATCCTCAGGTGAGGATAAAAAAATAAAAATTAAAATTAAAAAATGCCAGCAGGAAGGGGGGAGGGCCCTGACTTACCTGGCAGAGAGAAGTCCGGGTACTTGGGCAGCCGGTCACGCTGCAAAACTCTCGGAGGAGGCGGCGGCGGCGGCTGCGGGGACTTCACTCCGTAGATTCTAAAACGAGGACCAAAGTCATGGAGTCACCCTTCAGTTAGTAACAGAGAGAAGAATAAAGAGAATCTATGCAGTCCCTGTGTGAGCACGAGATGTTTATTTCTGATCCTTACCCTTTATCCTAACGGTAAGGGTCCTCATCTCCATTTTACAGAAGGGGAAACTGAGGCCACACGAGCCACCCTGCGCCGTGCCCTGCCCCTGCCCTCCCTCGGCACCCTGGGGCCGTGGTCGGCCAAGTCATTAGTCCACAGAGCCAAATACCAACAGTACGACGACCGAAATTTCCTTTGAGAGCCACATTATTTTTAAACTTAAACTATATAGGTAGGTGCGTTGTTATTAACTTCATTAGGGTACTCCTAAGCTGGCCTTTGCTAAAAACTCAAGGGACCAAAGAGCCGCATGTGGCTCGAGAGCCACAGTTTGCCGACCACTGCCCTGGGGCCTTAGGTTGCTGCCAGGAGTGTGAGCCTGTTGTTTTTTCCCCCCTCCCCACCTCTCCCTGTAAATCAGGGAGGACCACGGGGAGGATTTGGGGAGGATGCTGGGCCCACAGGGGGCCGGAAGGTGGGGCTGGCTGCTAGGAAGGCCTGGCGGTTACAGAGGAGGCCGGTGTCAAACAGACCAGACACAAACCGTTCCGGCGTTGACCACCAGGGGGCGGCTGGGAAGCCCTGGCCGGGATCTGCCCTCCCCCTGGTCGCCTGGGCTCCTCCAGGGCCAGACTCACTCCGCGTAGGGCTTCAGGTGCGCCCTCCTGGACCGCTCCATGAGGTCCAGGAAGTCCTGGTAGCAGTTTCTGGCCATGACCGAGTACCGGGTGGCGCAGCCCAGCTCTGTGACGCTGGCTCTGGGCAGGTATCCCGCCCAGCCCGGGATTGGGGGCTCCTCCAGCGGCTTCCTCAACTGTTGGCATTCTGTACAGAGACCCACGCTTCCTGAGGGTTCGGAGAAGCCACCCTGGGCGGGGCCCCGTTAACTGGCATCCCAACCATTAGCCCCGGCGAACCCCTGGGCCTGTAGATACCCTCACGGCAGCTGCCACTGGCTGGTGGGCTCCCCGTGCCAGGCACCTTGGCTGGAGTTATATAGACAGCCCCCCACGCTATTTGGGATTGACATGGACAGCGGGCTGGAGCCCGACGAGTTGGCGGGTAAGGCCGGTTGTGGCAGCTCAGAGACCCACTGATCCCCACCCACAGGCCAGGCCGAGGGACCCCACAGTGCACGAATCCTCTGCCTCTAGTGGTAATGATAATAAAGAAAAACAGCCCATTGGGTCCCCTTTCAGCCTTTCCCCCTGAAAAAAAACTGTCCCGGGCAAATCACTGTTGTGATTATTCACAGGACATCGTCATATTCTCCGCAGGTTCTGTGGTTATCAGTGCCAAGCCCTGTCCCACCCAGCGAGTACCTGGAGGAGCTGGGTTCGAACCCGGGTCTGACCTCAGACAAGGGGCATCCCCGTGGAAGCCTCACTTTCCCCATCTCTGAAATGGGTATGACAGCATTGCCTGCGCAGGGCTGCTGCTGACGGTGGGAAACCATGGTGCCTGGCACGGAGCCCACCCAGAAGGCAGCGGCCGGAATGTGGTGGGGTCTCTCTCGGGGGCTCCTCGTTCCCAGCACCCTGTCCCCCGACCTGCACCCCTCCCCTCTTCCCCGGAAATGGGTGCTTCTCGTTTTAAGAAACTGGGCCTTTCCACGTTCGCTGCCGCCTGGGGCTTTGGATTGTGAGGCCCCCGTGGCAGCTCGGTGGGCCTGCCGGGCCTTGACCTTGGGCCCCAGGGTGACGGGGGCAGCCCTCGGGGAGCCAGTACCCAGGAGCAAGGGGTGGTACTGCTGGTAGTACTGGTGCAGCGCCCGCAGGACCGTCTCCTCCTGGCAGATGGGCTGCAGCTTGGGGGCGGTGGCCACCGCGTGGCAGAACTCCTTCTGCCGGTCCCTGTAGCGCTGCGTCTTCTCCCGGAAGGCCTGCAGGCAGCGGGACATGTGGTCCTCGCTGGAGGTGCCCTCGCAGCTCAGGTACGGCACGAAGCCTGCGGGGGGAGGGGAGGGGAGGCGAGCCAGCCTTCACAGAGCCCAGACTCCCAGCGCAGAGCGTGGGGTGCCTTCCTGGGCCCGCGGCGCGGCCTGTTCCTAAAGGCCCTTGGGAAGGCAGGGCCGCTGTTCCCCGGTGGCTGGGCCCTTCTACGGCCACAAAAACAGTGACCTTGGAGCTGGGGGTTGGGGGGGGGGGGGGGTCCTGTGTCCACAAAGGCGATGGCAGGCCTATCTCTGCTAGCAAAGCCCCTGGTGAGAGGCCGCCCGAGAAATGGGGAAAACGTGTAAGGGGCCTGAAATGACGGTCTGGGGAGCAACGGAAATGACTCGTGTGTTTAGAGAGAAAGCTCATTTTCCTGGACACTTCCCAAAGGCAATCGGGCATCTTTCTTGTCCGACCGCTGGGAAAGGGCGGGCTTATTAAAAGCACAGGCCTGCCAAAACCAGTTTGGCTCAGTGGATAGAGCATCGGCCTGCGGACTGAAAGGTACCAGGTTCGATTTCGGTCACGGGCACGTACCTTGGTTGCGGGCACATCCCCAGTGTGTGTGTGTGGGGGGGTGTGCAAGAGGCAGCTGGTTGATGTTTCTCTCTCATTGACGTTTCTAACTCTCTATCTCTCTCAATTCCTCTCTGTGTAAAATCAATAAAATATATATTTAAAAAAAAAGCAAAGCACAGAACCCATTTTTTTTTTTACCATTTCCTACAAAATACCAGATAATCATTACAATCACTGTAGGTAAAGCACAGCTATGTATTTACACCAGATGCTGAAATCCTAAGTACTAGAATACTGTCAAAGCAAAACCATTTTTTTAAAGGAAGAACAAATAAGGGAAAACTGGGTAAAAACTTGGCTTTAAACCGCCAAATATCATAAAGGAGCCCTCCTGCTTGAAGCCCAATCTGTCTGCCTTGTCCCCACATCAGGAAAAGCTGGCTTCCTAGTGGAAAGGAAAACCCCCCACCGCTGGCCGCCTCAAAGAAGGATCTAGTGACTGGCCTGACCTTGAAGCCCTCCAAGGTCAGTCTCCCGGACCCGTGGGCAACTAGCACACACCCTGATGTCAGTGGGGAGACTGGGGAAAGCAGGGCCTTGCCACTGTGGCTTCTCCTCCGACGGGGCCCACTTTGATAGGCGTAGATTTCAATCATCGTACAGGTGCACAAACAGGAACCGGTTTGGCTCAGTGGATAGAGCGTCGGCCTGCGGACTGAAAGGTCCCAGGTTCGATTCCGGTCAAGGGCATGTACCTTGGTTGCAGGCACATCCCCAGTAGGGGGTGTGCAGGAGGCAGCTGATTGATGTTTCTAACTCTATCCCTCTCTCTTCCTCTCTGTAAAAAAATCAATAAAATATATTTAAAAAATAAAAATAAAAAATAAATAAATAAAACAGGAATAGAAGCTTCCTTTTCTGAGTCTTGCTAAAAGGGCCAAGGCATTTTCAATAGGTGACACAGGCTGGCTCCTCTAATCCCCACAACAATCTTATACAAAATCCATCACTACCCCTCGCGGTTGGCCGAACTGTACCTCCCCAATGCAAGTTCTAACCCCCTGCCCCTGTGAAGGTGACCTTATCTGGAGATAGGGTCTTTGCTGATGTCCTTAAGGATCAGACGTAAGATCATCCCAGATTTAGGGTGGACCCTAGATTAAGGTGACCAGATGTCCTGCTTTTGGCGGGGCAGTCCCGATTGTTAAGAATTTGTTAAATATCCCCCAACAGTGGGGACGCGGGACAAATTGTTAAAAATCGGGACTGTCCCACCAAAAGCAGAACGTCTGTCTGGTCACCTTACCCGGCCTATCACATGTGTCAAACACAAGGCCCGCGGGCCAAATCCGTCCCGCCAGGCCTTGCAAAGTGGCCCGCACCGCGCTGTCATCACTGCACTCTGCTGCGTTTCCATCACAATGACAGTTTATGACTGTTCAGTAAACCATTCGGCCAGCGATTTAGGCTGGATTTTAGATTTTGGCCCCTTCTCTGATTGAGTTCGACACCCCTACATCCAATGCCTGGTGTCCTTATAAAAAGGAAGGACTGAGCTCGGAGACACACAGACACAGGCGAGGGCCGGAGGCGGCGGGGACGCCGCCACCAGCCATGGAACTCAGGGGCCCCCAGAAGGTCCTCCCCTGGGGCCTGCGAGGGAACACGGCCCTGCCCACTCTTTGGTTTCAGACTTCTGGCCTCCAGAACGGTGCTGTATCAAAGGCAGCCCTCGGAAATGAATGCACCCATCTTACGGATGTATTCGCTTACCATGGAGAGGTAAGTCACTCGCAGCACACAGACAACGGCCAGGCAGCACCTGGAACCTCCGTCTGTTAGATCCCAAAGCCTGTGGTCACTGCCTTTGTGGAAACGGGCCTTCCCTGTTGGACCGGGTGAGGCTGGGCAACCACGGAAGAGGCCCCGAAAATCCTCTCCTGAGGACAAGTGAGAGGGAGCTGAGGGCCACAGGGATCGCTGGATTTGTGACAGCCTGCCAAAAACCGGTTCCAGCATGAAATAATTACAAGAGTTCCATCAAAAGGTTCATGGGACCGAAACCAGTTTGGCTCAGTGAATAGAGCGTCGGTTTGCCGACTGAAAGGTCCCAGATTCGATTCCGGTCAAGGACATGTACCTTGGTTGCGGGCACATACCCAATGGTGGGTGTGCAGGAGGCAGCTGATGGATGATTCTCTCTCATCGATGTTTCTAACTCTCTATCCCTCTCTCTTCCTCTCTGTAAAAAATCAATAAAACATATTTAAAAAAAAAAAAGTTCATGGGACTTGGGGAGCTCAGCAGGGTGCAGTCACATGTAGTTCACCTGTTGGAAACGGCTAAAAGGCACTTCCCCCAAACCTGAATAGGATTGTTAACTGCCAGACAGCTCAGACTATTTTATTGCCTCCTGTTAGCCAAACACCTGAACAGCTGTAGGCTATTCCCCAAACTGACAATCTCTGTAAACCCTTTGATACCAAATATACCTTTGAAGCGTATATTTCCACCTTGCCTCAGGACAAATTGTGTTTAATAAAAGCACGGGTCCTTGGTCAAGGGTAGAGCTTTCTAGCTCTGCCAGATGAAGTCCTCTGACCCCCAATGCCTCTCAAAACTATCTTTCGCCCACGGACTCCTTCTTAACCATCTACATGCAGCCCTTTCTCCAGAATGCTGAGCCCTTTGCAAGGCTTGAAAAAGAACCCGGGCAACAGCCGTGTGACCTGGTACGCGCTCGGTGGCCAGGAACTGGCCAGCCCGTTAGGTGGGGTGACCAGTTGTCCAGGAGCCAAGGCGTTTCCTGGAACACAGGACTGACTGTCCGTGCTAAAAGCCGGGCCGTTCTGGGCAGCCGGTCACCGTCCCTCTTGAGGACGGGAGGAGAAACGGGACCGGAGGCACAGTCTATTGGAAAACTCCAGAGAGCCCAGCTGGGGAAGGAGGCCGGGGCCTCAGCACTGTGTCCAGTCTGGTCCAGACCCATTTGGTGGACATTAACTCCCACCGGTCTTGTCCTGGGGGATTTGGCCTAAGCTGTGTCTCTCACTCACTTATCAGAGCCCAGTCATCAGCCGCCCTCAGCAATGGGGCGCTCTTAACACGTGTCTTAGAAGCCAAAGCACTCGTCCGGGCCCCGCCGGCCAGACAGACGTGGGCAACGGTCCAGAGCAAGGCCCGTCCGTAGCCAGGACTCTGGCGCTCATGCCAGGCGCATCTCTGCCCCACGTACCACACCACTTACCACCGTAGCCTGGGGTGACGGGCAGCTGCCTCATGAAGACCCGGGGCGAGGCCACGTCGCGCTCTGACAATAAAGGGAAGACGGGATGGGACTCGCACCCAACGTCCCTGCGTTAAGAACTCACGTCAAGCCGAAACCGGTGTGGCTCAGTGGATAGAGCGTCCGCCTGCGGACTGAAGGGTCCCAGGTTCGATTCCGGTCAAGGGCATGTACCCTGGTTGTGAGCACATCCCCAGTAGGGGGGTGTGCAAGAGGCAGCTGATGGATGATTCTCTCTCATCGATGTTTCTAACTCTCTATCCCTCTCTCTTCCTCTCTGTAAAAAATCAATAAAATATATATTTTTTAAAACAAACAAACAAAAAAAAAAACACCTCATGTCAAGGGGGCCAGAGCCTTGGGCGTAGAGTGAGCTTGCCAGGGGCCCGGAAGGAGAGCAGCTCTGCCAACTGCACCAGGACTCAGGCATGAATTAGGTACCAGGTGTACGGACCTCCCCCCACCCTTGTCCCTGCCCTGCCCCCCCCACCTTCCATCTACCCTCACTAGGGCCACCAACTGTGACGGAGGTAAGGAATGGGAAGATGGGAAGATGGGGGACCAGGAAGCCCCCACATAAGATTGGAGAACCTTTGGGGGGGGGTGATGAGGCACTCTCACCCTGAGCCTTTCTTCATCCAGGGGGAATCAGGTCTCCATGGTGATTTTTGCGGCCCACCCCCCACTCCCTCAGGACACCTGGTAGGATCTGAAGACATGTGGGGATGTCACAACGGGGGGATGGGGTGCTCCTGGTATCTAGGGTCCTGGGTTTGATTCCGTATCGAGGATGCTGCTCAACATCCTTCACATCTCAGGGCGTCCCCACAGCAAAGCGGCAGAACGCGCTCTGGCTAAAGGGACTGGAAGTCCCCAGAGGCTGACATGGAGTCCAGGGCGTCTGAGAGAAGGAGGTGGGGACCCTGAGCATCAGTGCCTGTGGATGCGGCCAAACAGCCAGGCCCCTGCCCTCTGCAGGGCTGGCCTGCCTGCGGGCCCCTCTGGGGTGGGCAGGCCCACCCGCCAAGCCAGGCCATCTCTTAAAGGGGAAGCCCGCCCTCCCTGGCCGGTTTGGCTCAGTGGCTGGAGCATGGGCCCCGCGGACTGAAGGATCCTGGGTTCCGTCCCGGTGGGGGATGGGGCACCTACCGTCGTTGTAGGGGGGATGTCGGGCTCCATTTGGGGAGCACGTTGAAGACAAAGGATCCATGTCTCTCCCTCACATTGATGTTCCTCCCTCTCTGTCTCTCCCCTCCCTTCCACTCCGTCTAAAAATCAACGGGGGAAAACCATGTTTTAAAAAGGGAAGCGATGCCCTCCCCGTGGGACACAGGCCTCGGGGTGTCAGGTTCGGCGGGCAAGGATGGGAATTGGACATGCAGAGGCCGCTGGCTAGAGGACACGGGAGGCTGCATTCCTGTACAATCCTCACCGCCACGCCTCTCAGGGTCAGCTCCTGTTCCGGCCCCCATCTTACAGAGGGTGGGTGGGAGGCACAGAGGCTGAGAAACCGGTTTGAGGGCTGTGGCATCCAGGGAGGATGAGGGACTACCTCAAACTCGAGGGGCAGGATTTTGTTGGCCAAAAGCAAGCCACTGGAGCGGGAGCAGCTGGGAGGCCTGCCTGGAGGAGGGGGCAGGGAGGAGGAGCTTAGAGGGGAGATGTGCGAAGGGCTGGGGGGGCTGAAAGCTGGGACACCGGAGCCCACCTCCCCTTTCAGAGCCCCTCCCGAGGGGCTCACCTGGGCAGGCCTGGTAGCGGCCCGGCGGAGCCTCCAGCACAGGGTGGCCTCCAGGCCTTTGTGAGCTCACCGCTGGGGAGGGGGGAGAGAGGGAACGGGGGAGGGAAAATGATGGGGGGAGGGGGAGGGGAGTAATGGGTCCGGCTTCTCAGCCTGCTCCGCCCCCCGCCTCCCCCTCCCGCAGCCCCACCTGGATGCCAGGGAGGCGGGTGAGCCGAGTGAAGGTGGGGGCGCCCCGCTCAGGAGCCCCACAAAAGCCTGGCCTCCGAAGCAGAACTCCTTCTCAGTCTCCCCAGCACCCCCTCTGGGTTTGGAACTGGGGGGCGGGGCACGCGAAGGGATCGGGGCCAAACCGCCTCCTGGTGATGCGGCCCAGGCAGCCTGCAGGGCGGGAGGTGCTGGTGCGGAGAAGGGAGTCTCCCTCTGCGCCTTGTGGGGGCTGCCGGGCGGGGAGCAGCCTGGGCTGGGCGAGGAGAGAGGCCCATCCTCGGCTTGTAAGTACAGGTGTGTCCCCTGGGCTCCCCCCCCCCCCCCTTTGTCCGGTAGGAAAGGCGGGTTTCCAGGTAGCCTGGACAGATAGCAGGGAGTAGGGCGATGCAGCAAAATGGGGGGCCGCAGTCCCTCCTGCCTGGTTTTGTGGGCACTGGGGAGAGGGGGCCTGAATGGCGTTGGATTGGCACGAGGGCCCACTGGTGACTCGAAGGGGATGCGAGGCCTCCAGCCTGCTGGCCCCCGGGATGCGCCGGCTCCCGTGGGCAGCCAGTTCGGTGTGCCCGCTGGGACGCCAAAGGCCCAGGGCCTGACCTTGAGCCATTTGCCAACAGCCTTTTGGTTTGGCGGCCACGGAGCAGCCCTAGGCCTCGCTGGCTTATCTGCCTTCTCTCCGCCTGGGAGGGAAAGGGGCAGAGACATCCAGGGAGCCTGCCTTCCCAGCGGACAGAGGGGCGCCCTCGTGTGGGAAGGGAAGTTAATAAAGCTCCGACACCTAAGGAAGAACAGAGACCTCTACCTCCACCTGCGATGGGTAATGATGCATCTAGAAACCGGTTTGGCTCAGTGATAGACCATTGGCCTGCGAACTGAAAGGTCCCGGGTTCGATTCCGGTCAAGGGCATGTACCTTGGTTGCGGGCACATCCCCAGTAAGAGGTGTGCAGGAGGCAGCTGATCGATGTTTCTCTCTCATCGATGTTTCTAACTCTCCATCCCTCTCTTCCTCTCTGTGAAAAACCAATAAGATATATATTTTTTTAAATAAAATAAAATAAAACTCCATTTACACATTCAGGGTGGGGGGAAAAAAAGTCTGGGCCACGCCACGTCCGAGTTCTGCTTTATTAGACATCCGTGAAGACAGTTTGCAGATACAACCTTGTCGGTTCGCCACTAAGTTCTGTGAAGCTTGAACAAGACCCACGCGAGAATCCAGCTCCTTATTCCGAGCAGACGAGAGGTCTGACATTATGGCCACCCCCCTTTTACACTAGCCATCCAGCTAAGCCATTTCCCGGCATACATACGTACATAGGCAGCATCATCACAGCTGTTTAGTCTCTACAATGTGAGGGGCGACCGTCGGCTAATATTGCATTTTTGGCTCCTGGGTATATTAGTGCATGCGATTCTTGGCCACCCTGGTGGTTAAAACCAGACCTGGACACTAAAAGCTAAATTTGACCTAAGTTATCATTCTAGGGGAGGGCAGGCTCTGTGGACGGGACGCGTCTCAGCTGCCGCTACGCACACACGCTCGCACGGCTTCCCCTCTTTTCTCTCCGTAACTCGTCTGCTGTGGAGCACTGACTGACGCCTGCCGAGTACGGAAAGGGCGGGCACAAAGGAAATCTTTTGACGCTTCTGCTTCCAGGAAAGGTGAACATCGGGTAACAAGCCGGGGACGATTAAATGATGGGTCAGAACAGGCCTTGCAGAAACTTCCTAAGGTTGGAAACTGTGTCCTGGTGTACTCACCTAGCCAGTCCTCCCACTCTAGAGTATTTCCGTGGGGGAAAGGGGAGCAGGGATAAATTTGGGGGGTGCCCCTAAGGTAAGGTGACCAGACGTCCCAATTTTTAACAATTTGTCCCATGTCCCGTGGCGTTGCGAAAATCGGGACTGTTTTTAAAACGCCTCAGGACGAATTGATAAAAGTCCGGACTGTCCCGCCAAAAGCAGGACGTCTGGTCACCTTACCCTAAGGTAGGGGTGTCGAACTCAATCAGAGAAGGGGCCAAAATCTAAAATCCAGCCTAAATCGCGGGCCGAATGGTTTACTGAACAGTCATAAACTGTCATTGTGATGGAAACGCAGTTGCAAGGCCTGGCGGGACGGATTTGGCCCGAGGGCCTTGTGTTTGACACATGTGCCCTAAGGAGTTCCATTCTTGGGGCTGCATCTCTGGGGCCAAGAAGCAAGCCCCGTAAAATGATCACTTCCTCTCTGCCCTCTATTTGCCAACACTTCCCATTTCAACCAGCTGATAGGAAGAGAAACAGAGGGGGAGACATCCTTAACTCGAAGCGGGAATAGGCCCTCCATTAGCCAAAAAGAGGGGGACTGACCCAGTGGAAGAGCCGGCTCTGCTGCCCCCTGGAGGCCGCCTCTGATGCCGGCATCCTGAGAACCTCACACCCGGGGACCACACTGCGCCCGGAGAGGGACTGCTCTGTCCCAGGAGGACAGGGGGGCCCCCTGCAGGGCCACAGAGAGTCCTGCAGAGTCACTGCTCACAGCGCCCAGCGTTCTGCTCGGAGACTGGGCAGGAGAAGGGACATGTTATTATGCTCCCTTAACTGTCAACAGTGACCCTTTGGGGTAAGGATGTGTGTGTAGAAGCATCCGATGAAGCTGCTGACCCAGGAGGCCCATCTGTTCCGCGTATTCTGACGCCAGGCACCTCCGTCCGTGGCTCCGTCTTGCGTACACAGTCCACAGGGTAGTATCGGTACAAACTGAGGAGCAGCGAGCGCGGGGGAGGAAAGAAAGCGTGGGAAATGAAAGGCAGCGATGTCATCAGCAAAATGCAAAGAGTGTCTTCCTTTTGTTTTTGTTGTTTTTTTTAAACAAGAAAAGCACGTTGTAGAAATAAAGAATCTGTACAATATTCGGATACTGTCTGTACATAACATTATATTACTTATAGCTCATTGAAAGGTCTTGTGTGTAGAGAACATGGCTGGTCACACCAGGGACCCAGAGCAGGCGGCTGTGGAAGCAGAGCGGATAGCAGGGACCAGGCGGACGAGAGTGCCCGGGGCAGTATTCCCTAGTCTGTGGTCCATGGTGTTGCATGTTCTGCTGGGGGATTCTGCAGCAGGTGAGGTGACAAGGGAAACGTGTTAAAATGGCATGAAAATGCTCATTCAGATCTGCATATCGGCTGCGCATGGAAGTTGGTTCGCTCAGCCTCCCTCCGTCCCCGTACACATGCTTCCGGTGAGTTAACGTCAGAGCGAGCTCCAGCCGCGGGAGAGGCGGCTCTGCAGGGATCGGTGGGCTGGGATCAGACCCTCGGTGGTTCTCTCTCAAGTGGTTCGGGGAGGCTGGAGGAGACTGCGAGGTGGGAAGGAAGGAGAGGGCACAGACCCCCGGCCCCACCCACAGAGGGCACGAGTGGGACCTGCAAACCCGCTCCTAGGGCAGCCCGGACGGCTGGGCGGCAGCTCTGGTGTGTGCAGCAGCTTCTGGAAAAATCCTAGTGAGAAGCGCCCCTCTGAACGGCTAACCCACAGTCCCAGCGTCTACTGAAATCGCAGCCCTGGTCTCCTCGCCAAGACTGCACTTCAGTTCGTAAAAGAAAAACTCTTTTCTTTTTAATTTTATGTCTAGTTGGTAAGCAGGATTATACCAGTCGTAGCAGTTTCAGGTGTACGGTATAGCAGCTGGACATTTGCAGGAACCTGCTTTTAACCCTCACCTTCATGCAGGAAACTCACAGATCTGCTCCGGAAAACACCAGGCTGGACCCATCCAGTGTAGATCTACGAATTCCTTTTGGACGGACTTTAAAACCAAGGACTTTAGACATTTCATAGGAGAGATTCACTGCCCCTGAACTACCAATATGTTTCTTTGAAAATGTAGGAATAGCCCTAACTGGTTTGGCTCAGTGGATAAAGCATTGGCCTGCGGACTGAAGGGTCCCAGGTTTGATTCCGGTCAAGGGCATGTACCTTGGTTGCAGGCATATTCCCAATAGGGGGTGTGCAGGAGGCGGCTCATCGATATTCCTAACTCTCCTTCCCTCTCCCTTCCTCTCTGTAAAAAGTCAATAAAATATATTATTTTTTTTTAAAAAAAATGTAGGAATAAATGGCCACAAGCTTCAGAAGGAGGAGTGTGAGCTGGGAGGACGGCGTTCATTTAAACCATGCATGTTTTCAAGGTGAGGAGCCGGTCCAGACTCCTGGGCTTGGTGATGGGAACACGGCAGAGGGCAGCCTCATTTTCTCACCCGGAAGTCCTAGAATTCCTGATGAATTCAGAAATGGGGACTTGGCCTTCTGATGCCGGAAGTGAGTGACACGGCGAATGGGATGCCGGGAGCTCTTTCACCTGCATTTCCATCGCAGCGAGTTTCCACCCGCTGGCACGCTGAGGTGTCCGCTCTCCCACTCACACCACTCCCCGGGGATCCGCCCAGGCCTCAGCGATGCTCCCCGGAACCAGCGTGGAATTGAAATGAGAACCTAAACTAGTGCCCAGGGCAGGCAGTCTTCTCCTACCGGGAAACGCGCTCCAGCTTCCCACGGAATCTCCACTTCCAATCGCACGACCAAAAAAAGCAATGAGGTGCATGGCGGGTGTGTGTGTGTGTGTGTGTGTGTGTGTTACAGCAACTGCCACCAAAGAGGGGTGAAAGGAATAGCCTCAGGAAGATGGAGAATCTCGTCCTGCTCTCCTTTCGAACCCAGGACAGCCTCAGAGCATCCCAAGTTCTGCTCGCAGGGGAGGTTGGGAGTGAGCTCATCCCTCTGCAGAGATGTGCCGGCTCCCTTGCCCAGTGGGTGTTTGGCCACCGGGGCCCATGAGACCAGCTGCTCTCCCCAAACCTCAATCCGGTGCGCCCTCCAAACCCCTCCGTGCTTCCAGCCCGGGCATTCCTAAGCTCTGGTCTCCTCTTCCCCGCTGCCGTCCAGGTGCGCAGCGCCGTGTCCAGGGTCAAGGGCCAGGGGATCAGGACGGTCGGGGTTGAGGTCGGCAGGTGCGGGTGGGCTGAGTCCGAGGGGCCAAGGCGGCCGGGAGGGTCCCGGTCAGTAATTCAAGAAGTCGATGCCCACCTTGACGCTCTTGGAGGTGGCCACGTCGACGGCCATGGCCTTGATCTCGGTGTCGCCGAACTGCATGAGGGTCTGGATCTCCCTGCGGGCGGGCGCGGCGGGGCCGCCGGCCGCGCCGCTGAGATCCAGGCGCAGCGAGCCGCACTTGCGGACGCCGGGGTCGGTGATGAAGCTCACGTCGTCGCGCTCCGAGCTGTACACGTTGATGACGATGACCAGCTGGGACGGCTTGGCGGGCGTGTAGCTGCGCTTGACCAGCTCGCCCAGCGCCACCGACTGGTCGGCGGCGATGAACTTGTCGAAGACGTCGGTGCACCAGCGGGTGCCGTCCTTCACCAGCAGCTTCTCGGGCGGGTGCTTGCCCTCCACGTAGCGGTTGAGCACGCCCACGCCGTAGGTGAGCGGCGACCGGCGCACCTTGATGACCGCCGGGTCCAGGCCGAAGAGCACGGCGCCCTTGAGGATGGTGAGGCCCACGTCCTGCGGGATGATGATGCGGCAGCGGTCCCCGAAGGCCGCCTGCACCGCCTGCTGCAGCAGCGGCGCCTCGGCGAAGCCGCCCACCAGGAACAGGAACTTGACGGCCGACACCTCGGGCTTCTGAAAGAGGTCCCCTGCGAGGGAGGAGGCAAGGACACCGAACTGGCACCGGAGCCAGCAGCCCGGAGGGGGGGAGGCCTGAGAACGTGGGGAGTGGACACGGCCACCTGGGTAAGGTGACCAGACGTCCCGATTTTTAACAATCTGCCCCGCGTCCCGAGGCGTTTTAAAAAAGTCGCGATGCTGCGGGACGCGGGACAGATTGTTAAAAATCAAGGCTGTCCCGCCAAAAGCGGGACGTCTGGTCACCTCACACCTGGGGAACAGGTGCGGTCTGAACAAGAATTTCTGGAGAGCCGGTCTTTTAGGCAGAGGGGGTTTGCACACCAATATGCTCGGAGCGTCAGCCAAAGCTACTGCTAAGGGGACACCTGTCTTCGCAGAGATGGTGACCGAGGAAAGGAGTGCTTCGTTTTGCCTAAAGGACCACTCCTCACCCTCACACGCCTGGGGCTCTGCTAGGGAAGTCAAGGCAGCCTCTTATCCATCTGATCCTTTGGGCCCTGGCGGGTACCATGCAGCTGGGAGTGCCCCAGGCACCCAGAGGTTGCTCCTTTGACCTCTGGTCAGGGCCCATGCCTGGGTTGTAGGCTCGATCCCCAGTAGGGGGCGTGCAAGAGGCAACAGATTGATGTCTTGCATTGATGTTTCTCTCTCTCTCTTTCTATTTAAAAAGCAATAAAAATATTAAATAAATAGATATTTTTCTTTGGTTTTCATAGGGCTTGGGGTTTGGTAGGTGAGGGGTCTGGAGTGGGGGGGGGGGCCCTAGATACTGAAAAGGGGGAGGCTCCCAGGCAGCAGAGAGCAGCATGGCCGGACGTTGTCACCCTCCTGTGGGGACCTCTCTCGGGCTCACACACAGCTGCTTCTCCCAGCAAGAGTTTTGGTTCCTGGTCTTCCCGCAGAAAGCAAAGACCGCGTTGCTCAGGGCCCGGGGCCAGAGGTCAGTCTGCTGCTCGGCCCCCAGCTCTCTGCCTGGGAAGCCGAAGGGAAATCGGGGTGAGGATGGTTCTTGGCCGCTTCCTCCCCGAGGGCCCGTGGCTGCCGGGTCGGAGATGCTGGGAACGGCAGTGCCCGCTCGGAGCTCCGCCCGGGGCCGCCGAGCCCCCCGGCCGATACTCACGCAGGTGCTCGATGATGCTGTCGATGGTCGGCTTGAAGAGGGCGTTCATGGCGTCGGGGCTCATCCTCAGCATCCCCTGGGAGGACCACTTCACAAAGTCCACGCTGCGGGGGCGGGGGTGGCACAGAGGGGGACGGGGTGAGCGGACAGACTGTGCCCACAGGCGGACACGGCCCTGGCGCAGCAGCTGGCAGCTCCGAGCAGCAGGGAGGGGGTTAAGGGCGTTGGAAGCACGCTCCCCTGCCAGGCCGGAACCCCTGGACACTCATGACACAGACTCAGCCTCTTCTGTTTCTCTTTGCCTACCCTCCCCTCCGCCCCCCCCGCCTCATGGCCAACCTTCCCTGGGGAAGTGGGAGCCGATGTCTAGTGCAAAGGACCAGGAGGTAAAAGCATCTTTCTCTCTCGGATGACCACACTTGGATGCAACAAGAGTTGGACGCGAGTCCAGCAGAGGCTCATGTGCTGTCGGCTAAGGCCGCCAGTGTGCTCGGTGCAGCCCGTCCCACGGCAGGGAGAAGCCTCGTCCCGCTGGTGCCCCTCGCTGTCCCCGTCAGAGGGCCGGTGTGCAGCAGCGGAGCCCTGGACGGGGAGTCAGGCTGCTGGGCGCCAGCCGGGCCCCACCGCTCAGTGGCCAGGGGACCTCGGGCAAGCACGTTCTCTGAGCCCCGGCTTTTCGTCTGCAAATCAAGGCCAAGAGCGCTTGCCTCACCTCCCTCCCAGGGGTTGCTGTGAAGGTGGAGTTAGAAAACACGTCTGGGAAGACACTCTGGAAACTTCCTGGTGCTACGGGAACGCCAGGGAATGCGGAGCGTGCAGTGTGCACCCGCCTGCTCTCCAGGTCCGAGGGGCTGAGCTAACGGTGGCTCCGTCCCTGCAGCAAAGCAGCTCCGGCTGCTCCCAGCAGCACGTTCTAGAGCACATGTGTCAAACACAAGGCCCGCGGGCCAAATCCGTCCCGCCAGGCCTTGCAATGTGGCCCGCACCGCGCTGTCATCACTGCACTCCACTGCGTTTCCATCACAATGACAGTTTATGACTGTTCAGTAAACCATTCGGCCCGCGATTTAGGCTGGATTTTAGATTTTGGCCCCTTCTCTGATTGAGTTCGACACCCCTATTCTAGAGGCTGCCCTGTCTCACGGGCCAGGAGGCCCTCCCAGGGCCCGGGCCGGAGGACGGTGTGTGCGGCAGAGGGTGACCCACTGGCGGGCTGCGGCCAGTCTCCCGGCGAGGGAGACCGGGAACTGTGCGGGCAGGACGGAGGAGTCAACATGGCAAATAAAAGCCAGACATTTCAGTAGCTAGACGCAGGTGCCTCGTGCAGGGGACCAGCAGGGAGGACCCCAGCCCGGGAGGGTCTGGCGAGGACCCTGCTCCCAGGGTGCAGCAGCTTGGAGTCAAGTCCACTGTCTCCCGAGAGGAGCAGGGCTTCTTAGAGAAGCAGCCGGTCGCAGGCGGGGTGGGGACGCACAGGTGAGTCAGGGGCACCCTCGCGGACTCAGGCGGAGATGGTTAGAGACCACAAAGGCCCGGCCAGTGTGGCTCAGTGGTTGAGCACTGACCTATGAACCAGGAGGTCATGGTTCGATTCCTGGACAGGCCCAGGCCTGGGTTGTGGGCTGGATCCCCACTGTGAGGTATGCAGGAGGCAGTTGATCAATGACTCTCTCTCATCAATGTTGTTTCTCTCTCTCTCTCTCTCTCTCTCTCTCTCTCTCTCTCTCTCTCCCTTTCCCTTCTTCTCTGAAATCAATAAAAACGTAAATAATAAACAAATAAATAAACACACCACCGAGGCCAAGGCAATGGGACTCAGGAGCCAGCCTGAAGGGGGTCCCACCGGCCACAACTGGACAATGGGAGCGTCCCTGAGGATCACATGTGCGTACGTCCCCGCGTTCTCAGTGGGACGCCCCCTTGTGCCCCGCAAAAGGAAAACCATCATCTGGAGGGGGCTGTGACTTCGGTAATTCTTTAGCCGGAGATGGTGCAAATGGGAAGAGAGAACCCAGCGCAGTCCCATCTTCCTCCTGAGCTGCGCGTGAGGGCAACCAGGCCGCCCCCCTCCCGGGCGCCCCGGGCCAAAGGCGCGTGGGACTCACTTGCTCTTGCGCAGGGCGTGCTCCACGCTGTGACCGCGGAACTTCTTGTAGTAATCGATGAAGGAGAAGGGCAGCGTGATGTTCAGCGGGTTGGTGCGGTCCGGGGCGGCCGCCCTCTTGCGAGACTCGAACGCGATCATCAGGTCGACCCAGGCGGCGGGACGCTTGATCTTGAACTGCTCGATGAAATCCTCTCCGAATATCTTGCACAGGAGCTTCTCAAACTCATAATCCACTCCCAAGGAGCCATAGGGCCCGCCTGCGCCGAGAACGAGACGGGGTCACCGTGTCAGGGGCGGTGAGGAAGGGACCCAGACCCTGAGGCCACCCTGGTCTTCTCTCAATCACACACCACGGAGCACAGCGAGGATGTCCCCTAGGCCAGTGGTGGGCAAACTCATTAGTCAGCAGAGCCAAATATCATCAGCACAAAGACTGAAATTTCTTTGGAGAGCCAAATTTTTTAAACTTCAACCTCTTCTAATGCCATTTCTTCAAAATAGACTCGCCCGGGGCCGTGGTATTTTGTGGAAGAGCCACACTCAAGGGGCCAAAGAGCCGCATGTGGCTCCAGAGCCACAGATTGCCGACCACGGACCTAGGCTCTCCCACTCCTCATGGAGAAGCTTTCCTCTAGAAACCGCTCGGCAATCACCTGTTTAAAGTTGGTTACATTTAGCTGAAACTGGTTTGGCTCAGTGGATAGAGCTTTGGCCTGCGGACTGAAAGGTCCCAGGTTCGATTCCGGTCAGGGGCATGTACGTAGGTTGCGGGCACATCCCCGGTAGGGGGTGTGCAGGAGGCAGCTGGTCGATGTTTCTCTCTCATTGATGTTTCTAGCTCTCTATCCCTCTCCCTTCCTTTCTGTAAAAAAAAAAAAAAAATCAATAAAATATATTTTAAAATAAATAAAGTCGGGTGCATTTAAATGGAAGCCATACATTTCGGTAACTAGGAGCATCAGGGTTTCCGCTCCCCCGAAGACACCAAGGACGGGACCTGGGAAGCAGGCAAGCCTCCCGCCGCCCCTGGGGCTGCTCACTCCTCACCTCCCTGACCGGGAGCGAGCCTGAGCCTGTTCTCTGGTTTGGAGACCCAAGCCCAGGGTCCTGGCCTCCCAGCAGCTGAGCCCCAGCCCCAGCCATGCGTGCCCTCAGGCTGCTGTCACATCCTCCCACGGCCCCCAGGAGCCGTGTTCTTGGCCAGGATCGGAGCCAGGCTCCCTGGGTGCCGAAGCCCCAGGGAGGGAGGTCTGTTGTAAAGGACATGGAACTGCGCTTTTCTAGCCCATGTTCAATAAGCCTCAGTGCCGCCCGGCGTGGCTCCACTGAGCACTGGCCTATGAGCCAGGAGGTCACGGTTCGATTCCCGGTCAGGGCCCAGGCCCAGGTTCGCAGGCTTGGTCCCCAGTGTGGGGCGTACGGGAGGCAGCCGATCAAGGATTCTCTCTCATCATTGGTGTTTCTATCTCTCCTTCTCCTTTCTCTCTAAAATCAATAATAATAATAATAATAATAATAATAAGAAGAAGAAGTAGAAGAAGAAGAAGAAGAAAATATGTTTATTTTAAGAAATTATAAAAACTTACCTTAGAAATAAAAAATAAAAAAAAATAAAAAAGCCAAAACCAGTTTGGCTCAGTGGATAGAGCGTTGGCCTGCGAACTGAAGGGTCCCAGGTTCGATTCCGGTCAAGGGCATGTATCTTGGTTGCAGGCACATCCCCAGTAGGGGGAGTGCAGGAGGCAGCTGATGGATGTTTCTCTCTCATCGATGTTTCTAACTCTCTATTCCTCTCCCTTCCTCTCAGTAAAAAAATCAATAAAATATATAAATAAATAAATAAGAAAAAAAAAGAAGCCTTATGCCTCCTCCTGCCGACTGTCCCCCGCGCTGGCGGCAGAGAGACCGGGATAAGCGGAGAGAAGTCGGGAGGGGGCGGCCCCGCTCGGGGAGGGGCACACCCGCCACGCAGCGCTCACCTGTGGCTTTGTAGAGCTCCTTGAGGTGTCCCTCCGGCAACCGTATCTGATGGACGGTCAGGTCCACGGTGCCACCGCCACTGTCCACCACCACGTACTTGTCGCCTGGAAAAGAGACACGGTCCACCCTTCACACAGACCGCTGGCCAGCCCCTCCCAGAACGGGCTGGTGGGCCGGGGGGGGGGGGGGGGGGAGTCCCCGGCCCTTCTCGTTAGCACAACGGGTTTGCTCGTTAGTGGCACAGCGGGTTATCCATGGCTCGAGAGAAGGCAATGATGTCTGCGAGGAGCGACGGTTTAGCGTGGACGGTCAAGAGCCCAGAGGCATGGATCTTTAAAAGATCCGGCGGACAGCTTCCTGCTGCGAGAAGAGCCGGCTATGTACCTGAAGGCTTAACCTGGAACCGGTGAGTGCCAGTCCCTACCTTTCCTCTGAAGAGTCTATGTGGCTTTCACACATGCCAAATCCCAGCCCCTCAAATAGCGCCCCCTGGGGGAGCAGTCTTTTAAAAGCCACTGATTTGGAAAGTTCTCCAAAAGGACAACAGGGACAAGTAGGAATGCAGTTTTGCCAGAAGCAACACACACACACACACACACACACACACACACACACGATTCAGCCAAGGCGAAGGACATTCAAGGACACTACCTTCCTCCAGCTCGGACCAGATCTCGCCTATGACATTCTCCACCAAAAAGGTCCGGCTCTGCCGATTGCGCCGCACGTGCTCCTTAGCTAGTGGCCGACAGAAAGAAAGGGAAGGCGGGTGAGAAAGCACGACAGAGACAGCGCGGCCGGCACCTGCAGTCAGCGGAGGCAGCAGCGTGAGCAGGTTAGGGACAGAGCACGCAGTGAAATCCCCAACGGTTACAGGGATGCAACCCCGGGAATGGCCAGCAGCTCTCCCAGGACCGGCGGCCGTTGCCACGGCCTTCACCGCTCTGTCAGCGTGGCAGACTGAGCCTGCACCCGGCCGGGAAGCCCGCCGCCTGGATGCGAGCCCATTCCTCCGGGGACTTTTGCGGGAATGAGCTCATAAAATGGACCCATTTCCTGGCTTCGCTGTCCCAGGGAAGAAGCGGTCTGCCAAGCAGCCTTCAGTGGACTCGGTTAAACAATGTCACATCAAGGAATTCTGATACAAGGAGAGCGGGGTGCTAATCCGGATCCTGGATAAACTGGACGGGAGCCCTAATCAGGATCTTGAATAAATTCTATAGGGACCATTTCCCGATCTTGTTGAAGCCAATATGCTCTTTGGCCACAAGGTGGCGCGTCTGAGACTGGCAAAGCCAGGCACCGGTTTCCTAGCCCTACAGGACCACCCAGCGGGGACACCACGCGTGGGATGTCACCTCCCACTGGCCTCCCCATAGCGCCATGAGGTGGACGGGGCATAAATCATGGCCCTCCCTTAGAGGAGGAAACCAGGGCAGGGAGGTTAGGTGACCAGTTCCCACACTGCCTTGCAGCCCCAAATTAACCCTCCATCCAGGGATCCTCCTGCCTTTGAGATTTAACAGTTTACAGTGAAGTCTGAAAAAGCAGTACACAAATGTGAAGGACCAGGAAAGGTGCTGTGAGAGGATACCTGGGAGGCAGCCGGGCACAGCCACAGTGGGAATTTGGGCAACTCAACCCCCACCCCCAGACCAGCCTCAGTTTCCTCATCCATAAAATGGGTATAATAATACGTGGCCTAAGTTCCTCGCAGGCAGAGCAGAGACGGGCTCTCGGATGGGTCCTAAGCAGCCAGTGTGACACCTGCTCACAGTGGGTGACAGTGAAGGCGAGCACCAAGCCCGAGACCCGGTGCCGTGGAGAGCGACCGCCTATGTGGCAGATCGAGGCTCTGCCCACAGCTCTGCTGCCGCGCCTTCTTCAGTCCCTGGGCGGGTGCTGCAGACTGCGTCTCTGTCTGCAGCTGTTTACCCACCAAAGGACCCTTGACCCTCTAGCCCAGGGGTCCTCAAACTTTTTAAAGTGGGGGCCAGATCACGGTCCCTCAGAGAGCTGGAGGGCCGGACTATATGAACTACTAATTCCTACTGTAACACCTCGGCTGCGCTCACTGCCCAAAAAACCTGGCGGGCCGGATCAGACTCCTCTGCGGGCCGCATGTGGCCCGTGGGCCGTAGTTTGAAGATGCCTGCCAGCCAGGAGCAGTGTTTGCAAAACAGCATCTCTGGGGGTTGGGATGGCAAGCCCTGGGCCAGCTCTGAGTTCCTCAGGCCCTGCGTTATGGTGGAGAGGCTGTCCCGGTGAAAGAGCGCCTGCAGGCTGGTGTGGTGCAGCTGGCTGGGCGTCGTCAGATGTACGAAAAGGTTGCAGGCTCCATTCCTGGTACAATTCCCGGTCGGGGTTGAGAACTCGCTCCCCGGAGGCAGCCAATGGGTGTTTCTCTCTCTCTAACTCTCCAAAAAGCAATAATAAAATAAAATAAAAAATCTTTTTAAAAAATTCTTACCCGAGGACATTTTTCTATTGACTTTTAGAGAGTGGAAGGAAGAGGGAGAGTCAGAGAGAGAGAGAAACATCGATGTGAGAGAGACGCATTGATCGGTTGCCTCCCGCACGGCCCCGACCAGGGCCAGGGATGGAACCTGCAACCAAGGTAAGTGACTGGAATGGAAGCCTGGACCCTTCAGTCCTGGGGCCGACACTATCCACTGAGCCCAACCAGCAGGGCAACAAAGAACATTTATTAATCAGACAAAAAGAGTTCCTGTAGGGCCTACAGCGACCCACACTCAGGCTTCTCTCCTTCCCCAGCTCCGGCCCCAGACGGACTCCATTGCAGACCTCGCAGTGGCATTTGGTTTCCTAAAACAACCTGGATGACTAACGGAACGGCATTCATAAAAAAACAGCCAAGCGAAGCTAACAAGACATGTTCTGAGCTCTTAAAAAGTGTATCCTATTTTCCAGGCAAATTAAGCCCATTTTGTGAAAAATGTGCTCTTTATGGCGCTCATTAAATCCTCCAGGTGTAAAATAAAATACCCACGGCAAGCCCTGCAGTGCGGTGTGTGTGTGTGTGTGTGTGTGTGTGTGTGTGTGTAAGCAAGGGGGACAGCGTGCTGGCTCAGTTCTCCCCCACAGCATCCTTTGGCTCCTCCTGAAGGAGCCCCAGGCAGAAGCGGCCGGGGGAGGGTCCCGGGCACCCCGCCCTCCAGTACTCCTGCTAAGTGCTCTGCCCAGCCGACAGCACCCGTCCTCCTGGGAGAGAGGTCCCAACGGCAGCCCAAGGCTGAGACACAGCCCTGCCTCCCGCCCTCTGAGGGGCACAGGCCAACCATTGGGGATTTAAAAACCCTAAAGATGCTCTGAGCACATGGGGCCGCAGCAGAGTCCTCAGGCACAGGACATGGGACGGGGCAGGGGGAGAAGGGGCAGAGGGAGACGGGGCAGGGGGAGACAGGGCAGGGGCAGACAGGAAGCGGGAGGAAAGGAAGCCTGGGGAGCAGCATTCCAAACAGCTCTCCCCTCAGACGGGGGGAAATGGTGGGGAGAGCGGTACTAGAATCAGCTAATCCTCCTGGATTTCTTTTTGGGGGCAACTAAGGGAGAGCCAGCCAGTGGGACGAGAAGCCCAGTCATTCCTGGTCTTTTCCATTAAAACAACGAAGGTGGAGATTGACACACGTTCGTCACTGCCTGTGTTTCAAACAGTGCAGATGACCTGGTCCGCGGCCAGGCTGCCCTCGGCCTGTGCTGGGCCCAGCACTGCTAAAGGGCAGGCGGAGCCCTGGATCTAATGGGAAGCCTGCCCCCCACCTCCCGGGTCACTCAGACCCGAGGTGCCAACACCGGGGCCTGGCGGGCAGGGGCAGCGGCTCGGGGACAGTGAACTTTGTGCCACCGCCTGGCGTCTGAGCTCAGTTTCCCCGGGCCTGGGTGAAAGGGCAGGCAGGGCCCTGGTGGTTACCCCTGAAGAGGACAGGAGGGGCCCGAGGAGATGGCGGGGTCCAGGGCCTCGGCTGGGCCTCGGGGTGGGGGCCACGGAAATCTTGGGAAGAAAGCTGTCCGGGGAACAGCCTGCGACAGTCCCGGCTGATGCCACCCCACTCCTCCGGGGCCTGGCCTTCGGGGGGTGATGGGTGGGGTTTTGCCCTCAGGACCCTCCCCGGGGACAGAGCTCAGAGCTGTGCCCCCCCCCCCCACCTCTCCAGCACTCTGGTTAGCTTCCAAACTCCCTCACAGAGGTGGCTTAGACCCCGACCTAAGGTGTCTGCGGACTCTGTGGCCCTGAACAGACCCACGGAGCGCTGGGGAAAAGAGTCCTGGGGACCGACTGGCACCAGGTGGGTACGAAAGAGGGAGAGCTCCTCAGGGTCCCCCCCTTCCCGTCTCCCCCCCCCCCCCCCGCCCCACCCCGTGTCCCTCGGCAGGTGGCCTCCCCGTGGCTAAGTGAGCATCAGCGGGCCGGGAGGCATCGGTCCTTCTCGTCCGCAGTCTAAACGCTCGCCAGGTTTATGGCCAAGACAGACAATGAGCTCATCAGCAGCGAGCAGCGCCAATGAGTGAGTCAGCAGTTAAGTCAACAGTCTTAATGGAGGAATTAATAACAGGAAAATGCGATTAATTGAGAGCCAGTTCACAGACGAGAAAGATTAAGAGCTTAGTAAAACGCAAGGCCGAGGACTGCTCTCAGGACCCCCTGGAGTTTGTGGAGAGCGGTGCCCTCCCCCCTCCAAAGGCCCGGGGGCCGAGTGATGAGCCAGGGCACCCGCTGCCAGGAGTCCCGAGGCCCCGGGAGGGACCGGGGAGGGGGCTGAGCACAGGGTGCCTAATGCCCACCTCTCTGGCAGCATCTGGATTCTTGGTGACAGTGCCCAGTGCATGTGAATGATGGCGGCCCGGAGACATGCAGGGCGGACGGGGGGAGCCGGGAGGGGGAGAGAGAGAGCAGAGGTACCCTGTGCAAACCCAGCTCCTACTGTGTCTCTGGAGCTGTACCCATTGACCGCGGACTTGCTGCTCAGCTCGATCATCTGGTGCAGCCGCAGCTTCCGGCAGTAGATGGAGGCGGCCTCGGGCTCCAGGGCGATGATGAGCTGCTCCGCGTTCTCGGGGGAGGCCAGGCCCGCCTGGAAGACAGGGGCAGAGGCTGGGACCGGGGCTCCCTGGGGGACGGTCCCCAGGACACCCCCACTCGGGGCTGGCACCTCGCGCCCTGCTGGTTTGCGGAATTCCCTTCATGGGCCCCTGCAGAGCAGAAAATTGGAGGCGATCGGGTGCTGGGCCCTAAGCGGGGCCCCCAGACACCGCAGAGCGGCCTAAGGAGATGTGCTAGCATCTGTGGGAAACACCAGAGCCTCTGGGCCACGGAGCCTCTGGCGCCTGGGGCTTACGTAGCCCCGAACTGAGGGGGCAAAGTCCCGGAATTTTTTTTAAAAAAATATATCTTATTGATTTTCTACAGAGAGGAAGGGAGAGGGATAGAGAGCTAGAAACATCAATGAGAGAGAAACATCGACCAGCTGCCTCCTGCACCCCCCCCACCCCCCCCACCGGGGATGTGTCCGCAACCAATGTACATGCCCTTGACCAGAATCGAACCTGGGATCCTTCAGTCCACAGGCTGATGCTCTATCCACAGAGCCAAACAGGTTTCGGCAGTCCCCAGAACTTTGAAAACTGTTGCAGAGGGGACAGCAGGTGGCCTGGTTTGGGCTGTAGCAGGCCCAGCAGTCTGATGAGTCAGAGCTAGCTCCAATATCGGGGGGGTGGGGGTCAGGAGTGGGGGGAGGAAACAAATGGCCCATCTCTGGGCAGGATTTTCCTGGATGGGAGTGGGACAGGGAGGCTCCCAGGCTCCGGGAGAAAGCCCTTCCTGGAATCCTGCAGAGCGCCCCCTTCTGGAGGGTGGGTGGGGAGGCAGCTGCCGCTCCCTCATTCAAAGTCCTGTCCCTCTCACAGCAGGAATGCTCTGATCTGCTCTGAGACACCTGGCTTGTTCCAGTGTCTCCTGGAGGCTCGGGGACCACCCTTCTGAGGGTGCCCAGGGAAAGGAGCCCGGCGTGGCCCCTTCCAGGTCCTGGCCCACCTCTCGTGGCCTTGAACTTGAGCACCAGATATCGCTTGTTCTTTTTTTTTTTTTCTTTTAATATATTTTATTGATTTTTTACAGAGAGGAAGAGAGAGAGAGAGTTAGAAACATCGATGAGAGAATCATCAATCAACTGCCTCTTGCACACCCTCTACTGGGGATGTGCCCGAAACCAAGGTACATGCCCTTGACCAGAATTGAACCTTGGACCCTTCAGTCCGCAGGCTGATGCTCTATCCACTGAGCCAAACCAGTTTCAGCCTCGCTTGTTGGTTGAAGCTGTTCGGGCCCCTGGGGTTTCCTGCCCGTCAATGTTTGTTGTCTTTGGTCCCGTTTCCATGGGAACCTCAGAGGCCGCACCCACTCGGCAAAAGTCCCGGCTCCACACCCAGCTCATGAAGCTTCATGGCCTCGACCTGGAGGCCGGGGCAGGCCTGCCTGACATCACACGTGCACAGTGACCTCTCGCCAGGAGGGGCCGCCTGCAGTCGCCGGTGGAAGGGGTGTAGCAGATGCAGTACCTGGGCGGGCTGGGAGGCCAGGTTAGGAGGGCAAAACCGAAAAGGACCTTCCGGATGCCGCCCATCCTTCACTCTGTGGAGAGAAGCCAGGGCTCGGAGCAGCAGGGTGACCTGTCCGGGGTTCCTGGGACATGGGCCTCCGTCTCTTAAGCTCCAAGGCACCGGACCCGTAAGCGGCCGAGCAGCCCAGGCCCCTGTCTCACACCTTGCAGACCAGCTCTGTCCTGGTTCTCTGCTCTCCCGGCCTGACGACTCCAGCTGCTGGGGTGGGGCCCCAGCCTCCGGAGGACTTGGACCAAACGCCCTGTGCCTCTGACGCTCCCCTCCACTGGCTTAAAGGAACAGCTACCCATGTACCCTGGGACGGCACCCGATGCCACACTGCCTGTAGGTACTTGCCTATGCCGTACCCAGACCAACCAATTAATTCTGTCTTCCTGAGCTACCACCAGCGCCAAGTGCCTGGACATCTCATGCTGCCAATCCCGAAGGCCTCCCGGCAGCGGGAAACCCCCAGGTGAGAGAGGGCCCAGGACCGAGCGACACACTCCTCCGTGCCCACCAGGCTTCAGGCTCCACCTCGTGCTCCCAGCGGCAACGCGGGTCTGGGCCCCAACGGCTGCTCCCAAAGTGGCCAGTGAAAAAAGCTGAGGGCCAGCCGAAACCGGTTTGGCTCAGTGGATACAGCGTCAGTCTGTGGACTGAAAGGTCCCAGGTTCGATTCTGGTCAAGGACATGTACCGTGGTTGTGGGCACATCCCCAGTAGGGGGTGTGCAAGAGGCAGCTGACCGATGATTCTCTCTCATCGACGTTTCTAGCTCTTTATCTCTCTCTCTCTTCCTCTCTGTAAAAAATCAATAAAATATATTTTTTAAAAAACAAACAAACAACAAACAAAAAAAACTGAGGGACAGGCAAGAGGAAGCAGCCGGTACGGGCAGACTCCACCTCCCCAGGAGGGGTCCCAGGCTGCCTGGACTCCAGGAAAAGGAGGAAACACGAGGGGACTCGCCAGGCTCAAAAGCCCAGCCGGCTCTCTCCGGGCAGGAGGATCTGGTGCCAGGAAGTGCAAGCTTTGTTTCTGGCCCTCCAGCCCGGCAGCTGTCCGGAGACCCTGTCTGGAGACCGGGGGGTCTATGTGCCTGGGACCAGGCCAAGGTCACCCGAAGCAGATGAGTGCTCCCTCTGCCTTTGCTAATCCGGCCCCCGGAGCTGGGACCTCCTGGCCACCGGGCCTGTCCGGCCTCTCCTGCACAAGGGGGTGTCCTCCCAGGGCAGCAGCCGGGCCTCCCTGCCCCCAGCACACAGGGAGCTGCCAAAGGAACGCATCGAGCATCCCTCCATCCCGAATCAGGTTCTGCCATTTCCTGGCGCTCATCTCTGCAAACCGGAATGAGACAAGCACTCGGCCTACGTGGCCGAGGACTCTACAGACAGAGCGCTTCAGCCAAGGGCACACGACCCCATGGGTCTCCTCCAGGAATCTGGGGCGGCAGGAGGGAGCGCCATCGGAGCGGCCCCTCGGAGCGCTGCTTCACGGTCCCCTGCTCCCGGGGGGAGGAGCAGCAGGTGGCGTCCCCGGCGAGGCCTGAGCCAGGGCCGTCCACGCTCCCCCGCCCTGCAGCCAGCTGGGAAAACCTGCCGGGACTGTGTTTACAGCCGAGAGGAAAGGCCAGGCGGCCGGCGAGCGCTCGCTGGCCGGGCGTCGAGCCGCGCGGGCCCTGGCCGTCCTGGGTGGCTCCTTCCTGCGTGTTTTCCTGATGTGTCTATTTGTCACCGCGCTCCGCTCAGAGAGGGGGGCGGATGTGAGCTGCAACGCGGCGCTGGAGGATGAAGTCATCCGTGGGGAAACATTGACTGAACGGGTTCTGGGACCTCCCAGGGTGACACATTCTAGGCAGAATGCCTCTGGAGAGAAGCAAACTGCTTCCTGTCCGGACAGCTCTCAGGACGCAGGGGGACTACCTCCCGTGCTAGGCCTCGTGGGCCTCCAAGGAGGGACCAGCTGTTCTTTTAAAAAAAAATTTTAAATCCTCCCCTGAAGACATATTTTTTTAAATTGGTTTTAGAAAAGGAGAAAGGGAGAGAGGAAGAGAAACATCCATTAGGTGCCTCCCAAACATGCCCCAACTGGGGATCGAACCCGCCCCCTACGTATGTGCCCTGATCAGGAGTCAAACCCGCGTGTCTGGTGTACGGGACCCAGCTGAGCGCCCGGCCAGGGCAGAACCATCCTCTCGCAGGATGCTCTTCAAGGGTCTAAAGGTGCCCCAGGCTTTATAAAAGGTAGAGGTTACCCTACTTTTCCAACAAGCGCTTGACTCTACCAGTGGCAGATACGTTGGGGGTTCACGGATGGAATAAAGTGCCTCCCTGCACGCCCTCTGCCCCCAGAAGTGTGAGGCTTCAGTGCACCACTGGCTTCAAGCTACCCGAGAGCAGGGACGGGCCCGGACGCACAGGGCACAGGTATGAATCCCGGCCCTGGCCCGCAGAATGCTCCCAGCCCAGGTTTGTTGAATGAATGAGTGACTGAGTGATCCACTCAGTGACTGTAAACTGAGCACAGTATCAAATCAGAACGTCTAAAGGTCCAAAATGAAGCTGCACAGCCCTGGCCAGGTGGCCCCGTTGGTTACGGCATCAGCCCAAACACCAAAAGGTTGCAGGTTCCACCTCCAGTCGGGGCGCATACCTAGGTGTGGGTTCAAGCCCCTGGTGGGTCATGTATGGGAGGCAACTGATCAAAGTTTCTCACATCAGGGCGTTGCTGTTGTTTTTTTCTCTCTCTCTCTTCCTTCCTCTCCTCTAAAAATCAATTTTAAAAAAAACAAAACAAAAAAGCATATCCTTCGGTGAGGATTTAAAAAAAAAACACTGTGCAATCTCGGCACCAAACAAAAGCCCCCCAGTTCTGAGGAGACGGCCTCTTCGCAGAGGGTCTCCGGCTTCAGAAAGCGGATTCCCTGTGTCCATGGAAGACGTCGTATCTGCCCTGCTCGGGACGGGTGACCTTCTACTCTCCGAGGTGCCATTGTGATTGTGCCAAACGCCAGGGGACGCCAACCCTTGCCCTCCGCCCATTTCCTTCCTCCTCAGCTGCCCCAGGCCTCTCCCCTCCCCCTCGCTGCCTCCAGCCCCCACCCCACGCTTTCAGAGATGCTGTCCTTGGAGGAGCCCCCCCCTCACCCCCCAGCTCTAGCAGCCCTGACACATCTGCCGGTCACTGCACCTCCTTCGTTTTCAGGCTAAAAATAAGCGCTGACCCCTTTCTGGGTCACACGTTTGTTGCTGGAGGCTTCTTCCTGTGAGCTGGAAATGAGGGTCAGAGCCATAAGGCTGAGTGTCCGGCCTGGGAAACACGCAGACCAGACACGGGGCCGTGTGGCCTCAGACAGCCGTTCCCGGGGTCCTGTCTTTGGCCATGGCCATGGCCACGGCACAGCCCGGGAGTCTGTGGCAGCTGAGGTGCGTCTGGGCTTCCTTCTCTTTAAAGGATTGCCTCTTTTTGGAACTTGCACTCTCTTCCTTCATCCCCATGAAAACAAGTCTATTTTGGGCAGATGCATGGCTGAGCCAGATTCTCACGCTGAGCGGAGCGGAGGAAGGGGAGAGACAGTCTGGGGTGGGGCTGGGTGGGAGGGAGGGGGGAAATGGGGAGGAAAGGGAGGAGAGGGGCACTGCCCTGACTCTATCTGCCACCTGGAGTAAAGCCCCGAATGTAGGGTACAGTCCATGACACCAGGGCAGGGGAGGAAGTGGGGGGAAGAGGGGCACTTAACGACCCTGCTGCGCTCAGGGTGGAGGCGGTGGGCGGTGGGTGTCGGCCAGGACAGGCTCGGCCCTCTGGCCACAAACCCAGCGTGGGAGGCATGTCCCCTGGTGGAGGGCGAGAGGACACCGGTGTCCATGGTGACATCCCCAGCCCGGCTCAGGCGACGGCTGTGGAGACTGACGTTCAGGGCACAGAGTTGCCAAGGCCCAGGGTGGCGCTCACGGCCCAGGGGAGGCAGTAAACACGCGGGAGCCAGCTCTGCCCTTGGATTAGAACCCAGATCGCAGGACCAGCCTGTCTTGCCAGGACGTCAGGCTCTCATGGAAGCCCTGTGCTGGCACAGTGGCCTGCAGCCGCCTGAGGGCTGGAGGCTGGCAGAGTTTGAGGCCCCAGCGGGAGGGGGAGGGGGGGTATGGGGTGGGGCAGGCACCCAGGAGGGATGGGCCGGAATGCCATCTCCATGGCGCTGTGTTGACTGGCATCCTCCTTAGGCGTGCACTGCCCTCATCCAGGTGTCTGCCACCGGGTGACAGCCTCACCCCTCTGGGGCGACCATGCGTGCTCCTGTGGGTTCCCAGGCGAGGCGGGCAGAGGGGAACAGACCTGTATTTCTGCCCTGGCACCAAGCGCCGTCTGCCCCGCCCCGCGCTCACCTGGTAGGCAGCTTGCCTCATGAATTGCTTGGCGGGCTGCTTCCAGATGGCAGGCACCGTGATGACCCATCTGACGTCCGCGTTCTCGAACTCCGAACCCGCCTGGTCGCTCAGCTCCTGCGGCCGAGGAGAGGGCAGAGGGCAGGTGGATGTGGCAGGTCCTCCTGGGGCTGCGCTGAGCTTTTTTCCCCCGCTTTGGGCCAACATGAAACGGCCGATTTTTGTTATTTCCTCGCGGGTCTGCACTGGGCTTTAAAGCAGGTGAGCGTGTGCGTGTGGGAAGGACTGTGAGCACACCTGCCGCCGCCCAGGCTGGTTTAGCCTCCGCAGGAAGAGCCGGCCTGGATGGTGGCTTCCTGGCTGCAGGGGCGCTAGCTTAGCTCTGCCATCCGCCAGCCGCCGGAGGACAGCTCAGAGGGGAAGGAACCTGACATTGACCCATCGTCTCCCTGGTCCCGCACTCCCGCTCGCTTTCCTTCATGAACCAGCCCACCACGCGTGGGATTTCGGAGACCTTCTCTACTTCAGCTCGTTTTGGCCCAGCATGCCACAGTCCCCTCTGGATCACCCACCGCCCCTCAAGTACCAGGCCGCTCCCTGTGAAGGCCTCGCTCCTGCAAGTCTCCTTGAACAGCTTTCTTCATGGAGTTTCTTTCACTTTTAAAATATATTTGTATTGATTTCAGAGAGAAGAAGGGAGAGGGAGAGACGGAAACACCAATGATGTCCCCTCTGTGCCAGGCATGTGCCAGACCAGGAACCGAACCTCGACCTCCTGGTTCAAGGGGCCACACAGTTCCCCAGTGGCTGCACCACTGTCCACTCCGCCCCACGGTCAGGGGGGCGCGTCCTGCTCTCTCCCTCCGGGCACAGTCTGGGTGGCGGGCGCGCCCCTCCTCCTTCCCCCCCGACAGCACAGGCACCGCCACGGTCCTACCTTCAGCGCCTGCTCCTTGAAGTACTGCAGGGCGTAAGCGAAGATCTCCAGGGCTTTGATCTTCTTGCCATTGGCCGCTGTCAGTTCTGTATCCAAGGTGAGGTCCTGGCAGGGAGAGGAAGGGGACAGTAGGAAGACAAGGAGAGGGGCCTTCCAGCTGCCAGCTTCGGGAACAGCTGCCTGCAGCTGCCGGAGGTGGGGGGGGAGGGGGGAGGAGATATGTGTGTGGGTGTGTGGTGGGGGAGGTAGAGAGGCGTGGCTGGTGGCCACGTCAGTGTTCCCCAATGTGTGAGAGTCCCCCAAAACTGGCCTGGAGGAAATGTCCTCGCCCTGTGCAGGAAGCCCTGGTTGTTCCCCTCAGCCCCACCTCCGCTTCTCTCCCCCCACCCCATCCTCTGGGAGCGAGGTTTCAGGGCAGTCACGGAGCCCAGGTAGAGAGAACAGCAGCAGGCGCCGCCGGTGCCATTTACATCTTATTTGCACCCGGGACACACATGGTCACCCTCAGAGCCCACGGAGGCCTCCATAATCATGCCAACGCACTGACATGCCTGGCGCTGAACACGCCTGAAGGGAGCTGCCAACCAAGCGCCCAGAATAGCAGAGCTCCTATTTTCAGGCTTTGCAGCCTGGTCCTCGGGAGTCTGGCACCGCGCCTCGCTCCCTCGCCAGGAGCGAAGAGACGTGAGCGCGGGCCTGGGTGGAGGATGCTCTGGGACGCTGTATGGACCGGGGTAATTCAAAACTGAGGGGAGACGTCCCCCGGCTGGGGATGGGCAGAGGGAGCCCCTGAGCCTCCGGAACCACCAGGCTCGCTACTGCTGGGGCAGTCAGTGGGGCCTCCGGATGGACCCCGCTGGGCAATGGGGCGTTGCCTCGGAGTGTGAAGGGGCAGTGAGCTGCTAACCCTGCCTCGGGAAGCCTGTCAGTCATCCTGACCCACCTGCACAAGCTCCCGGATGCTCAGAAAGACACCCCAGCTTTGGGGCACGGCTCCCGGACTCAGGAACATTGCCCAGCCCCTGGAAGCCACAGGCTCCGCCTTTTACAACTTCCTGTGTGTCCACCTCTGCAGGCTGAGTGCAGCACTGCATCCCCTTGGGCGAAAAGGGAGGGTGTGTTCCTAGCAGGAGCCTGTCCGAGTGGTAGAGAGACCATCCTCCCCCCCAACCCCCACCCTGGAAAGCAGGGTGCTGGCGGCTGGGTTGCCCATGAGTGCTTGTTTTGTCATCTGCACGCACGTCACGGCGACAAAGGACAGCAATCAGGGGAGCTCGCCCTGGCTAGGACTGACCAGTACCACATGGCGGGAGAGCTGTGTGTGTTCTGATTCCCTTTCTCCTCACAAAACCCCCGGGGACGGAGGCATTGCCAGTGTGTCCATCGCACGGATAAGGTAAAGCAAGGCACGGAGAGGCCAGGGGCTGGGATTAAGCCTCTGGAAGGGGCAGGACTGAACCCAGGCTGTCTGCCCTAGCGTCCGGACCTTATACACCGTCACCACCCTGACTCTTCACGGAATGGTGTGTTTAAGCGGAAACAGTTCTATCCTCCGGCCCAGCCTTCTCCGTGCAGCTAGAGGGGAGGCCATCGTTGACCCGGACAGTGTGTCGGGAGCAGCTCTGCTCCGGGACCTGGGCCGCCAGCTGCCGGGCACCTGATTTCCTGAGCTTCCCCCTCCCCCACGCAGGGGGTTAATGGGCCGGACTGGCTAGTTAACACCACTGCCCTCATCCCCCCGAAAGCCCCTGTCCCCACATCCCTCCTTCAGGATCCCCTAACCTCCCAATGACCCTATAATCCCAGCCCCCCAGGCCTACGCTCCTGCCAGCATCCACTCTGATGGGTCAGTTTCCCAGGCAATCAAGTCACAAAATATTCTCAACATCTCCCTGCCCACGTGTCCATCACAAAGTGCTGTGCGCTCCACCAACGCAGTGGTGGGCAAACCTCGGCCCGCGAGCCCCATGCGGCTCTCTGGCCCCTTGAGTGTGGCTCTTCCACAAAACACCACGTGTGGGCACGCACGTACAGTGCGATTGAAGCTTCGTGGCCCATGCGCAGAAGTCGGTTTTTGACCTGGGAGCGTCTATTTTGAAGAAGTGGCGTTGGAAGAAGTGGGGGCGTCGGTCACATGTGGCTCTCGAGCCGTGGTTTGCCGACCACTGCACCGACGCATTGGGTGCTCGGGTAATTTCCGGAATCGAGGTCAGTGGGCGTGAATGTCTGCCCGGGAGGAAGCCCGGGGGTCCCCGGGTTGGAAGGCCCCCGCCCCCACAAGCCCCGGGACCCTGGCTGGCTCTCCGCGGCACAGGGCCTGGGCCGGGGCGGGCCCGCTCACCCCGGTCGTGTGCAGCTTCATCTTGAACTTCTCCAGGTACAGCCACTGCTTGGCCTCGGTGGGGTCCAGGTCGTGGTAGAAGTCCCTGGCCGCGTACCCGAAGCTGTGGAACTTCCTCTCGGGGGTCAGCAGGATGGTGGTGGGCGTCTTCTGGCTGGACACCCCGGGGTCACCTCCTTCCCACCGCCTGCCGCCGAGGAAAGGCAGAGGTTTGGCACCTTCCTCCGAAGCCCGGGAAAGACCCTGGGCCTTTCCCGGGCTTCGGAGGCAGAGGAGGGGGTGGAGGGGGAGGCCGTGGGCTCAGGAGGAACTGGGAGAGGCCTCGAAGGAGGAGCGGACGCGCAGGCCGCTCAGAGGAGGCCCGCGCGGGCGGGCATGCGTGTGTGGGCAGGAGAACAGGTGTGCAGTGAGAAGAGAACAGGAGTGCAGTGAGAAGAGAACAGGTGTGCAGTGAGAAGAGAACAGGTGTGCAGTGAGAAGAGAACAGGAGTGCAGTGAGAAGAGAACAGGAGTGCAGTGAGAAGAGAACAGGAGTGCAGTGAGAAGAGAACAGGAGTGCAGTGAGAAGAGAACAGGTGTGCAGTGAGAAGAGAACAGGAGTGCAGTGAGAAGAGAACAGGTGTGCAGTGAGAAGAGAACAGGTGTGCAGTGAGAAGAGAACAGGAGTGCAGTGAGAAGAGAACAGGTGTGCAGTGAGAAGAGAACAGGTGTGCAGTGAGAAGAGAACAGGTGTGCAGTGAGAAGAGAACAGGTGTGCAGTGAGAAGAGAACAGGAGTGCAGTGAGAAGAGAACAGGAGTGCAGTGAGAAGAGAACAGGTGTGCAGTGAGAAGAGAACAGGTGTGCAGTGAGAAGAGAACAGGTGTGCAGTGAGAAGAGAACAGGTGTGCAGTGAGAAGAGAACAGGAGTGCAGTGAGAAGAGAACAGGTGTGCAGTGAGAAGAGAACAGGTGTGCAGTGAGAAGAGAACAGGAGTGCAGTGAGAAGAGAACAGGAGTGCAGTGAGAAGAGAACAGGTGTGCAGTGAGAAGAGAACAGGTGTGCAGTGAGAAGAGAACAGGAGTGCAGTGAGAAGAGAACAGGTGTGCAGTGAGAAGAGAACAGGTGTGCAGTGAGAAGAGAACAGGAGTGCAGTGAGAAGAGAACAGGAGTGCAGTGAGAAGAGAACAGGTGTGCAGTGAGAAGAGAACAGGTGTGCAGTGAGAAGAGAACAGGTGTGCAGTGAGAAGAGAACAGGAGTGCAGTGAGAAGAGAACAGGTGTGCAGTGAGAAGAGTGACTGTATCGATGGGAAGCGTCAGGGACAACCGCCCGAGCGTCCCCTTCCATTTGCATTCCTTCGTTCCTACTGAAACGGAAAGCCAGCCTTCTCTCACCGCTCCGTCCGTCCGTCTGTCCCGTGTTAAGTTCCTATGTTCTGATGAAGGAAAAGGCAGGAGGAACCTCCTTCCGAACCCCGAAGCTGAGAGGACAGCTCTGAGCCCTGGCCAAGGCCGGTCTTTAGGCGGTTTGCTCCCCGCAAGTCCGGCTCTGGCTGCTCTTTGCCCCGGTTTCATGGCCTGGCTGCCTCCCGGGAACTGCGTTTCCTAAGACAGCCGCGGAGACGCTGACGGGCACTGATTCCAGCTTTTTCCACTCGGGGCTCCTGTCTCAGAGACGGCCGAGCAGACAGACCCTACGCCTGCCTGGCCAATCGGAGGCAGGATCCTGGCTCCATAGGCCGAACCCCGAGGGCCGGGCTGTCTCGGGGTCTCTACTGGAGATGAGGGGACACCACGGGTCTCCGGAGCCTCAGAGTGCGGGTCCCTTAGCTGAGCCACGTCTGCTTTTCCAGAGGAAAGGCGGGGCCTAACCCAAACCGGGTGGGGATCGCTTTTATTACAACTTGTCTTGTCTACCGAACTTTTTTAAAAAAAAAAAAATGCCTAAAATCTTACCCCGGGATCAATAACTAAATCCCACAACTTCCAATCACAGTGTATCTCCAGGGCCATAGTGGATTTGGAGAATTGGGGTGATCAATCCACAGCTCCCAAAGCTTCAGGGGCTGAAGACGGCGGGAAGGCCAGGGCCAGGCCGGGGCAGCGGGCGTCGGTGCTGGACAGACCGGAATCCCCCTAGACAGCCGGCCCCGTGGGGACACGGAGCCCACACCAGAGTGTGCCAGCTGCCGTGTGCGTGCGGTGGACACAGGGAGTCTGAGAGCGCCCCCAGGAGACCCAGGGCAACTCCAGGTGACCCTTCACGCGGCTGCATTCCCCGCTCTGCTTCCTCTCAGGCGTGGCGCTTTCTGCTCTGGTCACGCACCCGTGACACCCCCTCACTTGGAAGAGCTGGCACCTCCCCGCCTACACTGACAGGAATTGTCGGCATCCCCATTTCACAGATGAGGGCACTGAGGTTCAGAAGGTTCAGCAATGGCCTAAGCTCACGCAGTGACTGTCCACCACGGACACCTGTAAGCGGGCACCTGTCCCCCAAGGCTGCAGGCCGGAGTCCCTGGGCCAGGTTTCACACCCAGAGCCATGCCCTTCCCCGGGCCAACAAAGTCAGAATGAAACCAGCACTGTCTCGGCGGACCACGACCCCGCCAGCCCAGAGACCAGCGTGGCTGCCCCAATGGCACCGTGAGTTTGGGCCGAGCAGGGCCAGAGTCCGGGACCCGGCGCCTGGACCCCCGCCCGCCCGAGCACTCGCCTCATCACGTGGATGCACTCGGGCTCCTTGGTGAAGCTGTAGGCGTAGCCGCTGGACGTGGTCCCGAAGTCCACGGCCACCACCACGAGGAACGTCTGCTGCTCCGCCACGCTGGAGTCGGCATCGTTCTGCAGATACGCCGAGAAGGTATCGGGGAGGGGGTCATCACGCCTGGCTTTCTGGAAGATGCTTCGGGGGGGTCCCACCCGGCCCCGCTGCCCACCCACTGCCCAGGACGTCACTGTCTGGCTCAAGCCCTGGGGAGAGGGGAGGCCAGCTCGGCTCAGGGAGACGCCCCTAAGGGAAGGACCATGCCCACAGCTTGCCACCACTCCCTTATCACCTGTGCATGCGCGGCTACTACACACAACACCCCGAGGGCCGGGGCCATTGGCTCTGAGTGACAGCCTGCCTCCCCCTCTTCTCCCCCAGGCCCCGTGAAGACCTGCAGCCACTGCCCAGGGGCTCTGCCAGCTGTGCCCGTGCAGCTCCCAGGGGACCTCTCCACCTGCTCCGTGGGTCAGGCCTGGCAGCAGGGCTCCATATACCAGGGCCCTGCCGGGTGCTGCCATAACCACGCATGACCCTGCTGGGTCCCGTCCCCTCAGGGCTGCCCCCACCTGCCTGCCCATGCTGCCACCCAGGCCACTGGCTCCAACGACACCAGCCACACGGGCCCAGAGAGGGACAAGGAGTCGGGAGGGCTCACTGGGCTGGTACCGGGACCACGCAATCTCCACCCAGGAACGTGACGGGCTGCTCAGCCGCCTCATGCCAACAGACCCAGACAGCCAAGGTAATGAACACACTCCCACACACATGTACACACATGTCTTACCACGATATGGGAAGGGGACAGAGGCGTGATCCCTGTGTCCCCAAGACTCCGGGCAGGAGATGAATACGCAGACGTGGGGGCCGTTTCTGGAAAGAGAAAGGAAAGCACGCTTCTTAGAGGTGGTAGGGGCCGGCCGGGGAGCAGGTGCCGGGCTGTGTGGTGGGCCAGGCTGACCCCAGCCACACAAAGTTCAGGTGTCAGCACCCCCTTACATGTACAATAGTATTTAAAACAACCAAATGAGCCCGAGCCACTTTGGCTCAGTGCATAGAGCATCAGCCCGAGGACTGAAAGGTCCCGGGTTCAATTCCTGTCCAGGGCACACACTTTGGTTACAGAGTCCCCGGCCCTAGTTGGGGTGCGTGTGGTAGACAACCAATGGATGTGACTCTCTGGGTTGATTTTCCATTCTCAAAATCAATGGAAAAATATCCTCGGGTGAAGATTAACAGACATTTCTCCAAAGAATATATACAAATGGCAAATAAGCACAAGAAAAGATGTTTAACATTAGTAATCATTAGAGAAATCAAATCAAAACCACCATGAGATACTGTTTCACACCCCATAGGATGGCTATAATAAAAAAGGAACAGAAATGACAAATGTTGGCAAGGATGTGGACAAATCGGAACATATATATATCTATATATATATATATATATATATATATCTCACAGCCACTGGGGAAGAGTTTGGTGGTTCCTCAAAGAGTCAAATATAGAATTACCGTGTGACCCAGCAATTCCACTCCTAGATATCTACCCCAAAGAATTGAAAACAAAGATTCAAACAAATACATGTATGTGAATGTCCTTGCAGACACAATAAGCACACTGTAGGCAGAACCTGGTATCCACCAACGGGTGAATAGATAAACAAAACATGGTATGTCCATATAATGGAATATTATTCAGCTGTAAAAAGGAATAAAATTCTCATTCATGTCATAACATAGATGAATCTAGAATACATTATGTTAAGTGAAATAAGCTAGGCACAAAAGGTGAAATATAGTATGATTCCACTTATATGAAATATCTAGAATAGGCAAATTTGTGAAGATAGGGGATGGATTTGGGGTTACCCGGGCCTGGAAGGGGGCAGGAACACGGTGTGTACTGTTTCTGTATTGGTAAGGAAAGGTTTTGGAAACAGATAGTGGTGATGGTTACACAATACTGACTGTAATTATTTCCAGAGGTTTGTACACTTAAAAATGGTTAAAATGGCAAATCTTACATTTTACATTTATTATATATATATATATGTAATTTATTTTTTATTATTATTATTATTATTTTTTTTTTTACTTTACTACACAAATATTTTTTATTAAAAAAAAATCAACTTGTCCTAACCGGTTTGGCTCAGTGGATGGAGCGTTGACCTGAGGACTGAAGGGTCCCAGGTTCAATTCCGGTCAAGGGCATGTACCTTGGTTGCAGGCACATCCCCAGTAGGGGGTATGCAAGAGGCAGCTGATAGATGTTTCTCTCTCATCAGTGTTTCTAACTCTCTATCCCTCTCCCTTCCTATCTTCAAAAATAAATATATAAGTTAAAAAATCAATTTGCATATCTGAGGGGGGAAGCAATTTTTGATTCCTATTAGCACCTAAAGCTCGGTGCTCTTGAGAGGAGAATGGAGACAGAAGCCAGGCTCCTGGACCAGCCTGCTGGCCTCTGCCTTCTTAGCTGATCCCCTAGCTCAGGGGCATCCTCTGCCATGAAAGCTGGGGGGTTTGGCCTCTCCACTAGGGGGCCCGGCCAGATGGTCCTTTCCACCTGTTGGCGAGACTTCTGCCCTGCCCTCAGCCTTTGGGGCAGCTGGCAGAGATGCCACCCTGCACTGGAGCCACACTCTCTCTACCCGCTACCTGGAAGGCCTGCGGCCATGTGTCCACGCTTGCACAGAAGGTCTTGGAAGAAACCAAATGTCTAATTACCCAGAAAATCTGGTGTTGGCAATTAGCAAACAAGCCATTATCTGCAGACACACCATCCACCCGCCGTCGGCTTGGCTCTAATTATCCCATCACTCAGCCCTGCTCAGAGCACGGCCCACTGACTAGCACAATTGCATGTGTTGGGCCACACATGTCTCGGGCCCCCGAGGACTCCAGGATATTCAGGGCAAGAACCAAGGACCTGCTGGGTTCTCCCCGTGAGCCCCTCCCCCTCTGTCTCGGTGCAGTAGGAAATAAATCATTTGACTTGCTGGTCACTCAACCAGGCCTTGTAGGGGCAATTAAACTTCACGGACTTCTCCCATCCAAAATTAAAATGCAGCTACACTGTGTAATGATCTGCAAAAAAAAAAAAAAAAAAAAAAGGCGTGCCGCAGCATTTTTATAGATAGGTGGGTACCATGCTCACCCACATCTACAGCACTCTACACCCCAAATCAAAGGTGAGCCCCGCCTAATGAGCATCAGGCCAGCGCAGGAAGATACAAAGCCTACAGTGACAGCTTTGTTCTCAAGCTGATTTTTCTTGATCTATTTAGGATGTCAAAGTGGTGCTCAGAAATTCTTGGGGAGCCCTAGCCAGTTAGGCTCAGTGGATAGGGTGTCAGCCCTTGAAATGAAGGGTCCCGGTTCAATTCTGGTCAAGGGCTCAATCCCTGGTCCTGGTCGGGGCTCGTGTGGGAGGCAATCAAATGATGTGTCTCCCTCCCTCCCTCCCCTTCCATTCTCAAAATCAATGGAAAAATATCCTCGGGTGAAGATTAACAAAACAACAACAAATTTTATTATTATTATTATTATTATTGGGGAAAAGAACATGGAAAAGCCTCCTTTATCCCTGCAGGCTATGGGAAGTCTCTGGAGTGCTAATAGCCCCAACACAGCTGAAAGCTTCCATTCGATAAATAAGTGGTTGGAAATAAAGACCAGGGGGTCAGTGGAATATTATCTGCTGATCTAAGAGTGCTTGACAGACCTATGCTAACAGACAACCAGAGAGAGTTGATGCTTGACGTGTCTATTTATACAAAGTACATGTCTATGACCTGGCCCCCAATACACAGGGGCCATGGTCCCCTGTAAGACCTTCTGTCGTTAGCTGAGGCCTGTGTATGTTTCTCTGCAAATCCAATGCAATAACATCTGCCGTGACTGCTCCCACCTGTGTGATATTCCCGGTCAGCACTCACAGGGCGACATGGGCATCGGGAAGAGGGGAGAAAGGCAAAGTGAAAAGCCCAAGAAGAATGGAGATTTGTAGAGTGCAGGCTGTGAGGAGAGAAAGCAAGCTGATGAAAAGAAACTGAGACCCACCTGTGAAGGTAGGGCGAGGAGGAGAGGTGAAAGGAAAACGCTTTGCAGGTAAAGCCAGAAATGCTGGGAGTTTGAAGAAAAACCTACCACACTGTTACCAGTAGGTTAACCAGACATTAAAGCATCTCACCCTTCCAGCACTAAGTTACCCTGGCATGCAGTAACACAAAGGGATTTGATGATTTCACGTCAAAAAATCGGAAAAACACCATTTCAGGAATGCAACCTCTGAGCCACACAACCACTGGTTCATGGAGAACCAGCTTTCTGGTCAACCAGAGAATTATTGTCGGGACTCCTTTGTTACTGATTTTAGCTAATTTAACAGCACTTCTGTCTTGTAGATTTACTGTGCAATCCTTTTTAGTTTATTGTATGTAAAAATGAGTTGATTTGTGGGTTAACCTGGGACTCAACCCCCACACATCACTTTTAAAATAATTTTTGCAGCAAAGAGGGTAAAAATATTAAAATATTTTTGCAGAAAAGTAGAGGATATAAATAAGTATGGTTCAGGATTTTTTTTTAGAGCCCAAGCCAGGTAGTTGAGGAGGAACTAGTTTGACTTTGTAGGTTGATGCTCATTGCGCTTGCCTTCGTGGTATAAAAATTAAAAAACAGGTTTCAGCGGGGCGCTCCTGCTATAAAATGCGAGACATAAAACTCAGACACCCTGTATTTGCTCCGGGCTCTAATGGTATTAATCAAAGCAGAGGTTCTGGAAATAAAAATGGGCTGGATAGAGGTATGTCAAAGACAGCCATCACTCAGAAACTTGCTTATTGCTCTCTGTGGGAGACATTAGTCAGCAAATGGCCGTGAGCAGAACTGTAGACTTTCCGGGATACAGTAAATCGATCCTGCTCCATAAACACAGCATTTTAAAGGATGAAGACAGGATCTCGGGCCAGCCTTTATTCTACAAGGCTCCAGGCTCATGCCTCATGCGAAATGACCATGACCGGTGCTCTCAACAATGGGGACTCCGTGGCTTTCTGGTAGGGAGGGGGCGTGCAGGAGGCAGGCGATGGATGTTTGCTATTTCACTCTCACATGGAGGTTTCTCTCTGTACTTCTCCCTTTCTCACTCCCTCTCTCTCACGACAAAATAAATAAAGAAAAAGGAGGATTTTTTTCAAATATATTTTATTAATTTTTTACAGAGAGGAAGGGAGAGGGATAGAGAGCTAGAAACATCGACCAACTGCCTCCTGCACACTTCCTACTGGGGATGTGCCCACAACCAATGTACATGCCCTTGACTGGAATCGAACCTGGGACCCTTGAGTCCGAAGGCCAACGCTTTATCCACTGAGCCAAACTGGTTTCAGCTATTTTATTAATTTTTACAGAGAGGAAGGGAGAAGGATAGAGAGTTAGAAATATCGATTAGCTGCCTCCTGCACACTCCCTACTAGGGATGTGCGCGCAACCAAGGTACATGCCCTTGACTGGAATCAAACCTGGGATCCTTCAGTCCCCAGGCCAACGCTCTATCCACTGAGCCAAACCGGTTAGAGCAGAAAAGGAGGATTTTTAAGGTCGTTAAGCTTTAAGCATGCAATGGACGTTTTCATCCTTTCCTCCTCCTGGCTCTGAGATGACAGGCAGCTGCTGACAACTGCCTAAAGTCAGGCTACTGGAAAAAAGCTCTTCACTTCTCTCTCCTCACATGCCCCCCCTGCAGTGTCATTTCTGAAAACTGGTCGGTGCAAGGTCATGTGTAGGTTACTGGCAGATATCTTTTAAAAAGGAAAATAAAAGAAATTTATTACCCTATAACAGGCTTCATGGCTAGCTGAA